GATTGACAATGCAAACAAATCAATAACGAGAACCAATTCAAAAAAAAAAAAGAAACGGCAAGATGGCCAAAGAGCCGATACTAAAGGTACGTGGTAATAGTGTTCGCATTGTCAAATGTGTTCAAAGGAAAAAAGAACCAGAACCAACGCTAAAAACGTTTTCTTTTTTTTTTTCGCTTGACAAGTAAGGAGCACAAGATGGCTCTTGAGCACCCCACTCTTATTGGCTCTTCCTTCTTTTCCCTCACTTTTCCTTCTTTCGCCACTTCTTGCATTTTTTCTAAGGTCCTGGATGCCGTGAGAATATGGATTTCATTGGACGCAATGGCCCCGCGCGGTGCAACAACGCTCGCATCGTAGCAATAAGGGTACAGAGTCAGGGTAATCAGGTTTTCTTCCCTATCTGTTGCAATACGGAAAGTGGGGTACATGGTCTTGGTTTGTATAGATCCTCGGGTGCATGCAGCAACGGAAAAGAACAAAGAAAGGAAACCTAACCCCAAGAAAGTAAAGAGTAACGCTATTCTAAGATCCTGACTGAGCACTTTGTACCCTTATTTCTTTTGTTCTTGTACTTGTTTGTTTGTTGGTGTTTTATCCTGGATGGTTGCTTCCTTGGATATCCAAGCGAGTGTACAAGCGCACAAAATACGAGAAATCATCCCAAAATATTGTTAAGAGGATGGCCAAGAAGTGGCAATGAAATCAGGGGGCAATGCAAAAGGCTGTTGAGTTGAATGAAAAGCAGAAAGACTAGACCATTGGTCCAGTTCTGGATGGCGAACGACAAAGACAGGGTGAGCAATCGTTGCTTATTACCGGCTAACATGCCAAGTCATCCGCCCCCACTGTTCACTCAACTTTATCATTTTTATCTTTGTTTTCTTTTGACATTGTTCTTTTGTTCTTCAATCTATCATTTCAAACAAAGTTGATCCGCTGATGCAATGGCCAAGTACTAAATGACCATTTGGTGTGGATGAGGGGAATAAAAAATGAACACCGGGACGCTCTGCTGATGGCGTTAGCAATTAACACCTTTGTTCACAATATCATTCGCATGCCTTCCTTCATCGGCAGAGGTATGTCTAACTAATTCATCCGGACTGCATGAAACAAATGATAGGAGGACAATCAAAGTCCCAGATATGTACTTTCAGCCATGCATCTTGGGTGTTGGCATGCATTTTTTCCTTTCCTTCCTTCTTTCCATCGGTCTAATGCTTTCAGGGCGTAAACAAATGAACTACGTATACTACATCTTCAGTAGGCCGGCGTATACAGTACATCTTCAAGTTCCCTTTGTTATTTCCTGCAAGGCGGACTTTTTTTTGACGATGTCTTTCTTTTCCCATTTTGCTCTTTCCTTTTTCTTCTTTTTCCCCTGCATTTTCTCAGGAAGACCAGAGATATTCCCTGAGAGATATATGAACCGTTTTTTTGTTTGTGTTTCCTCCAATTCCATCCCCCGCCCTGCCAATGCTCTACACGCAACCACCCATACTCACATTCTTGCGCGTCAAATAACAACAGCCAGGGTCAGAAGGTTACGAGCTACGTATTAGGCAATCTCCCTTTGTTGGTCTATAACAATAAATGAAACAAAAACGTGCATGTTTTCTCATTCTTCTCTTCTCGCTAACCTAGCCATTGTATTTTGAAAGCCAGTTTACCATTCCTGCTTTCATGGACCGCTGAACAACTGCGTTTGGGTGTATGTATTTGTTTGTGTATGTGTAAGCGTTGCATGGGTGTTGAGTGTGCTCCGCTTGGGAACGATGTTCGGAATGCAGAGCCGGTTGGACAAACGATTTTTTATGGTTAATTCGGTGCTCTCTTATTTTGCTTGTGATTCTTCCAGACCGCCTTTCTCTTTCCCCATTCCCTTCTTTCCATACCCACAATTCTCTTCTCTGCACCTGCATGTGTGGTCAATCCCGGTCGTGTATCCGTCGGGGCACCTTCTCGGTTATTTTCATGTACTTTTGTAGATGAACTGTTGATTGTGAGCATTAAGAAAACAAAGAGTTGTTATAGGCTGGGCACTTAGAAACCAAAAGACAAAAGTCAGCACAATTGTATCCCATGTATGCGAGCGTTGCATTGAAAAATCTCATATCCTTCCCCATTATCATCGTCATCGTAGCGCCATCGCCTCTTACATTTGAGCCCCTGTGGAATGCAATGATTATCCGTTTGTTTCTTGATTTTTGCTTCCAGCCTCAAGCTGAAGCTGAAGCTGAGAATAGGCAATTTAGTACGCGCAGTCTAGTCAATTCCTCTCTTTTTAAACGTAGGCCGCAAAGTCAACACCGGACTATGCGCCACGCGCCCTGGATTGCTTTGATATTTATTGATATTGCTATTGTTGATATTGCTTTGACTGGCTGAATGACTAACTGACTGACTTACTGGGCCAAGCATCTGTCAACTCATTGAGCCTCCGCTCCTCTCCTTCTTTTCCCAATACAAACACTCACCCGTCCAACCCATCCACTCACCCACTCACCTCCTCGCCCACCAGCAAACAATTAAACAAAGAAACAAGACAACCAAAACAAACCTACAGCCAAACAAACTCTCTTCCTCTGTCTCTTCGCTCCACTCCGTCCGTTCTCTTTGTGCGTCCATCCTTGGCCTCTCATGACTAGGATAAAGTATAAGAGGATCGGCGTAGCCAAAATAATATTTAGTGGATGCGATGGCGCAAGATATGAACTATAAGAGTAGCGAAGGGGCGCATGAGATGCATCAGTTGTTCGATAAATCGATCACTACTGAGTCAACACATCCATCCCATCAAGGAAGCAAAAGGGCGAGAGAGAGCCAGGGAGAGCTCACATCATTCTTCTTTTTGTTCCTTGTTTTTTCTAATTCTTCTATCGCCATCATCGCCTTGCCATTTTCTGCATTTCTTCTTGTTCCTCATTCATGCAGTGGAAAAGTCATAGGTTGTTGTTTTGGTGTGTTCGTTGCTTCCTCGGATTGCTCATTTTCTCTTCCGTTGGGTAACTTGCTCTCTCTCTCCACGCCTTTCTGTTCATATCCTCCACCATCCCTTTTCTTCTATTCGCTCTCACAGTTCTTATTTTTCTCTCCTCTATGATTATTGTAATCGATTGTGTTCCCATGGCTTTTCTCGATAACATCAATAAAAAAAACAATTGAAGTCGATTGAACTAGATCTTCTGAACTCTCTATGAATCTACCTTTGTACAGTTCGACTGTATCCTTTTGTTCTAATCATGGTTAACTTATCCAAGGTTGAATCAGCCAAATAATAAAATGATCTCTTGACGACAAAACAAACAAAGAGCGGTTGGAGAGATGTGCAAGCATGTAAACAAATGGACAGACAAGCATTGGAGATAAACTTTGCCTAACCTGGTTATACTACATGTACCTGCCCTGTCCTGACTCTGTTGCCTGCACGCTCAGGGCCTCTTCTATGCCGCGTGTTTTTCTTATGATGATGATGATGATGCTGATGATATTTTAGGCGCTCTCAAAACGATTAAATACCCTTGATTCTCTTCCCAACATTGAGGATTGGTCATGCTTCATTCATTTTTTTAAAGAAGCAAAGCAAAGTAAAAAGTAAAAGACTTTCTATTTTATGGATTGCGGAACAAATAATGACCATTGGCAAGAGGGAAGGGATAGGTGTGTATATAGCATGGTGGCACAAATAGCCAGCGAGAAACAGAAAAGAAAATCGACGAGAGGAAAAGGCACCAAGAGGCGTTTTTTCTGTTCAACAATTTCGCCAAAGTCAGCAGGCCAATACACAAACACACACGATCAGCCCGACCACGTTTTTTTTGTGTGTACGGTCCCTTGCTTTGTCCATCTGTCCTCATGTCCCTCTGACCCCTTGTCCCTGCTCCCTTGTCCCTGCCTCAGTTAGTCACTCCAAAGTCCAAACCATGTTTTGTTTGTTCACAAACTTTTGCTCTCTGTTTTTCTCCTTCACACGCTGTCCTCTCTCGTTCTCCCGGCCCGACAGGGTGACTGGCATCGTTTAATCTGCCCAATGAATGGATGCCCACACAGAAGAATGCGGAGGGAGCAAAACCATAGAAAATAGGCCAACCTAGGAACTCAATTGGTCCACACTTTCTCAGATACACTTCCTGCATTGTGAGAAAGTAATATGAGCGTGCATATACCTTACCTTTCGTATGGATAGTGGAGGAAGATAACCTTCTCTTTCCCAATGGTCCAACCCTGTCTTGTCCCATATCTCTCTCTCTTCTTCCACAAAACACAGACATGTGCAAAATCGCGGCGAAGGGCAACTCTGTCAATTCGTTTTTTGTTTTTACTCCAGGTGGTCGTTTGGTCCAATCGGTCGGCTTTTATTATTTTTTTTGTGATGTTCGATCATGAACTGCGGGGAGGCGGGAAAAACGACTGCGCTGCGCGCCGCGCGAGAGTTTTGCATAGTACGTTTTTAATTCCCTATCCTTTTTTCACTCCTTGTCAAGTAGTCGATTCTGTGTGCGGTAAACTGCGAAGTCTTTTTCGTTGCGGCTTTTCTATGATTCATCTTTTACTACGCTGCTCCTCCCTCTTTCCTTCCCGCGTTCCTTAGCCTCTTCAACCCCAGAAGGAATTTTTCAGTTCAACCCGGGTTCCTTTCTTCTCCGTAGGGCGTGGGAAGTGACAAAAACGCGAAGCAACAAAAGCAAATGCTAGAGTCATTATAGATCTTGGTTGACCACTTGGTTCAATGGTCCCACCATACCTCTCCTTCTATCAGACCCCTTCGGACTCACCTGTCAAGAAGGCATCGGGCGAATGGCCGAGTCAAAGACAGAATAGGAGGAAAAATCAGAGACCAAGCCACCCACCTTTGGCGGTTGAACTCTTTCTTACCCTCAACACATGACAGCGAATCGTTCAAAGGGGCTGGACTTAACGAGTTCTATTTCGCTTCTTTCTTCACCTTTCACTCCTACAAACCGACGAACCCCCAATAACGATAACCCATAACGACAATGGTCCAGGATATTCCATACGTTCACTTTGACTCGATCGAGGATGCCATCAAGGACATCGGTAACACAAATTTTTGACTCTTTGCGAAGCAGGCACAGTCTGATCCATCACTGCGCAGTTTCGACTGTTGGATACACCCCACACACATTCACACACAGTACGGAAGCTGACACTTCCAGGGACAAGGGAATCGAAGTAGGACCAGGTAGTCGACACTCAGGACACAGACCAGTGTTTGCTCTTCAGGAACAAAAGAACTTCATTTCTTTCTCATGAACCCTTCTGTCAGATGGAGCCCAAAAAAAGAGAAAACTGATCAGGACAGACACAGCAGATGGGAGAGTAGAACAATGGAACGATGAAACGAATGGAATTGGACCTTTCCACTGCTTCTACCTACTGGACTTTCCCCCTCTATTCCTTATCTTCCTTGCTCTCTCACTCCTTTCTCTACGTTGACCCAGTCTAACATCGATCTGTTACGTTCTATTCAACAATAGCTGATGGAAAGTTCGTTATTGCGGTTGATAATGAGGATCGCGAGAACGAAGGCGACTTGATCATGGCTGCAGAGAAGATCACTACCGAGCAGATGGCCTTCCTAATCAGATACTCTAGGTGAGTTATGTTCTTTCGTCCTTTGTTCAGGGGCAATTTGGATTTCAGGAGCTTGTGGATCAATCGGAGAAGAAAGAGGAGACCTCAGGAGACTTCTGTTGGTGCTACTATCTGCCACCCTTCAGAAAAGGAGGATGACAGTTACCAGGAAGAAAAGTGCGAAGCTGTGGGAACTGATCGGGATGGTGCTCCGCAAATCCCAGGGTTGCAATTTGCTCCACAAGCTGGGAAAAAAAAAGAACCAAGGGTACTTTCACTTAACACGTGATTCATACTAACCATTTAACCATTTTCAATGCTTCACACCTCCTTCTCCCCTTCATACTTCCTACTACAGCGGATACGTGTGTGTGCCAGCAGCACCTGAAAGGCTAAAGGAGCTCGAGTTGCCCTTGATGGTCCCCAACAACCAGGAGCTGATGAAGACCGCTTACACGATCACCGTCGACTATGCCCACAACACCACCACTGGAATCTCTGCCCACGACCGTGCCCTCACCTGCCGATCCCTGGCCGACCCCACAAAGACCGCCAAGGACTTTAACCGGCCCGGACATGTCCTGCCTCTGCGTTATGCCGATGGTGGGTCGGTCAACCGGTTCGGCCACACCGAGGCGTCGGTCGATCTGTGCAAATTGGCCGGTCTCCAGCCTGTGGCTGTTATCTGTGAGCTGGTCAATGATAGAGATGGGTCAATGGCGCGTCGTGATGATTGTTACAAGTTTGCGCAGGAGCATGGGATCAAGTTGGTTACTATTGCGGATATTATCAAGTACCGACAGGACCATGGCTTCGTAGAGAACTTCTAAGGTGGCTCAGGCGAGTAGTTGACTTTAGAGTAGAAGTATCACCATTTGTTGATTATACACATTATTTACCATTGACTATTGACCATGGATCAGACGAATGTGATAAATATTACTTTTTAGTATTGAAGAATGCAATAGGAAACGTGAGAAAATATACAACTAATGCTCTAGTAATGATGTTGATGCTGCTGCTGCCCGGTAACCGAGGCAGCCAAAAGAAGCTGCTGTTCCAACTCCTGGATCCGCGCCTGCTGCATACAATCCTTATCCGCCAACAGACTCCGTTCCAACTCGACTTCATTCAACTTGCTCTCAAACATCGAGTTCTCGACTTCAAGTTCTGCAACCCGCTGTTCAAGACTCTCCATTTTGATCAGTTTCTTGTGGCGGGATCTGCGGGCAGCGTCGGTGTTTTTGGCGCGCTTGAGGGAGACTTCGTCCATCTCTGAGAGGTCCTTGCCATCGAGGACGGAAGGGGGTTCTTCGAACTCGGGGCGGTCACGTTTAGAGTATGAGAGGGAGGCGGAGCGGTAGGTGCTCTTGTAAGTCGTGGCTTTGATGACGGGGGAGGAAGCACCCGGGAGGGAAAGGCTGGATTGAGTGCTGCTTAGGATCGACAGTCTTGGGGTAGTCGTTGTTGCGGGGGCCAAGGTAGGATGGTGGTGGGATGGAGGGGAGCTGATGACGGAAGAGGCGCGTTCGGAGGAGAAGGAGGACATGGTCGGGGTCTTGGGACTGGGGCTGGACATTGTCATAGACATGGTTGGCATGAGGGGCGTGCCGGGAGGGGAGATGTCCATGGCGAGATCGTGCGACACTGTCATGCTTGCTCCTTGCTTGGGCATCAATGGTGCCAGAGGCTGTTGTTGTTGACGGAGAAGGGGTGTTGTGATGTCGTTGGGGGAGGAGGAGGAGGAGGAAGAAGCAGCAGCAGCAAAGGAGGCGAGTAGGGACTGGGCGAGGACAGCCTGTTCGAGCGACTTGCTCCAAGGAATGTTCAATGCCGCGGCAGCCTGCTGGACAGCCTCGGGTGTCAAACCCGCAAATGAGGTCATGCCCAATAGATTCATCGACTGCTGCTGCTGTTGCTGTTGCTGTTGCTGTTGCTGTTGTTGTGGCTGTTGTTGTTGTTGCTGTTGCTGCTGCTGTTGATTTTGTTGAGCGAGGGCAGCAAGGTTGGTGGAAAGAGCCAACGCCCGTCCATATGTGGTCTGCGTCAAGTCTGGGAAGAACGACATTGTCGAGTCAATTCCTTGGCCACTGCTACCACGAGGAGATTGGATGAGAAGGTCCCTGTCCAAAGAGGCGAATCCGACGACAGGTGAGTCTTCCTCCTTCTTGGTGGGGAGGAGGATAGGGCTGTGGCTGTGCTGGTGCGACGAGGCGGGCGAGGCCGAAGAAGATTCAGAATCGGAGGAGGATGAGTCGTCGTACTCGGTCGGGACCACAAATCCAGCCTGCTGGAGGTCGCTCGAGAGCCAGTCGTCGAACAGTGAGGTGGCAATCTCGGGGGTTGGACCGAATGGGGCGTCCAGGTTATTGCTGTTGGTGTTGCCGTTGCTGCTGTTGGTGTTGATATTGCTGCCAAAGTCGAGCAAGCTCTGTCGGGAGCGAAGACCCGCGCTCTTTTTGTCTAAATAAAGTGAAAAAAAAGGTGGGGTTGCGAATAAGCAAGAAGAAGAAGAGAAGAAACAGAGACAGTTAGCCAAAGTCAAAAATGAAGGAGAATTATTTAGTTTTTCGGTGATCATCACTTCATTCAGGTACAACAATATCAGAGGGGCACAGGCCCTTCCACTCCCCCGATGAAAAATGACATGGATGCGTCAAGTCAGGTGATTGACACATCTTGCTCATCCCCAGAAATGAGTCTTTTTTGTCGATTGTGGGTTGCTGACCTGGGGTGCAGAAAAATGTATAAAAGAGAGCCTACAAACAGTTTCTGCCCACTTCTTGCCTTCCTTTTCTCTCTTACTCTTCCAATTGCATACGAGTAATTACCTTGGTGGGACAGGGCAAAGTCAAGCGAGCTGGTGGTCAAGTTGACCATAGCGCCCATGGGCGATGCAGAGAATTGGTGATTGTTCATCTGGTTGTGTGATATCTTAACGTGAAGAAAAGTGGAAAAAGAAAGGTGGGTTCAAATAAAAATATAAAAGTGGGTGTTTTAGGATGGTTGTTGGGTGGGTCTGTGTCTATCAAAGGAGGTTTTTGGTTGAGTGAATCTGGAGTAGTTGTTTGTTGCTGCACGAGTAGTAGTTCTGGGGCAAGAGAAGACCATTTTTGTTTTGGATAGAGGCTGAATAAAAAGTTGTTGGTTGTTTGTTAAAGAGCTGGTTGTAGGCTAAGAAAGACTGTTGAGCTGAAAGAAGAGTTGGGCTGATAAGGGCTAGCTGTTGTAGGTTGCTGTTGAAGTTGTAAGAGAAAAGAGGCTGTGTATTTAAAGCGTTTAAATGATAATGAACGACATCTTGGCGATCGTTGTTGGAAGTTGAAAGTAGGTTATGAAAAAAAGAAAAAAAAAAAGAGAAGAAAATAGTCTAGTTGCTGTTTGCAGTGGAGGCGATGTGGTTGTTGCTTTTTGTTTTTGTTTGTTTGTAAAGAGAAGAGAAGAGGAGTAGAGTTGAAAGGAAAATAAGAGAAGAAGAGGGGATCGACTGTCTCTCTTTTATATGAAAATCAATGTATGTTGGCTCTCGTTCAAAGAACTGAGAAGTGCCTCGGCCTTCCTTTTGATGATCAAAGGAACAAAACGGTGAACAGTCCGATAGACACGACTGAATTAAAACAGGGTAAAGAGTTCCCAATCATACATTAGGAGGAAATAATAAGCTCGGTGGATGCGATTGGTTCCTCAGCGCCTAACACTTAGCACACTTGTACAAAACCTCATCCTCCCAATAGACAAAGTCATCGACAAGGGTTAGGGAGGGGCAAAGGAAAAGTGAATGAGGGATGACGAAGGGAGTTTAACAGCAACAGTGTAACAGGGGGTGGAAATCGACGCCTTGGGCCAAAAGGGACAAAGATGAGTGGGAAAAAATGCTGCATCGCACCCATTTCTGTTTGAATTGGTATCCAACACCAGCTACCTGGTCGGACTACAGTACCTAGCACTTCATGTCGACTACCTTTTCGCCCTCAACTCTACGCACTTCTCTTACTCACTCATGGAAAAGTAGTACCTCGTTGATTCAAATTCCCTGCTACTCCTTCTCGAATTTTCTCTCTTAAGGAAAATGTTTAGCTCCCTTGGCTCCCTTGACTCCCTTCTTCTCCTTTTCGCATGCCAAACCCCTGGCTTCTTTCCTTTTTGCTTTTTTGTTCGAGAACTTGCTAATGCTCCCTTCCCTACACTAACTCCCCCCCTCCTCCCCCCCCCCCCCTTTCTTTGCTTCTTTGATGTTCTTTCACAACAGGTTATCGGGAGAACAGACCCCTTCCCTTTCCCTTCTTACAAAGAGTGTTACCCCGCATGCTCTCTCGCTCCTCTTTTGTACCTCATTTCCTCTCCACGGTCGAGTGGTGCAAACACACATGGAAAAAAAGATGTAAAATGGAAAAGCATGTGTTTGCGCTTAAAACTTTTTTTGTTGCTGTTGTTGTTGTTGTTTTGGCACGATAATCGGGGCGAACGAACATTAACAAAAAAAAACGTCCATATCGATCTTGCTTCTTGCTCTCACCTCTCGTGGACCATCACTTTACAGGGACGACCCTTCTGAAACCACATGCCACCCCCACTTCTGGTTTTGTTGTTTGTTTTTCGTTCATTGTGCATCTCACGAGTCTCCCGCATGTCCATTCTCTCGGGCATCTCTTCTTCCCATTTACTTTTCCTTCTGAATGCCTGTAGTTCAAAGAATGTCAACCGGCTAAAAAAAAAGGGTGAACCAAGGTGTTCGGTGCATTCAGGGGCTGGGGGCAGAGGCGGGGGCGGGAAATATCTCGAAAAATGCCTTCCAAAGAAGGCTATGAAAACCACTCGACCCCAGTAGAAAGTCAAAAATATAAAATCAATGATTGCCTTTCTATGGCTTGAGCTTGAGTTTGGATGGGTGGATGACGGGGAGAGAGAGGGTGAGCTCATATCGATACGAAGGACAGGGGAATCACAAAAGTTGCTGTACCGGTACTTGCAAACAAACTCTATCCTTTGACTGTAGAAAACTCTATTGAGAAAAGGTCATGCCATGTTATCTACGACAGATACAGAGTAAGGTGGTGAGGCGCGGCGAGCAGAGGAGCGTTCGTTTTCAGTTGGGATTGGCGCAAATCAAATCTCCGGGGCGCATGATACAAAAGGCCATTCGTTTCAACACCTCTGAGAGGTTCATTTCATAGAGAATTGAATAGGCAAGGCAAAAGGAATTGGATGAACAAGGAAAAAAATCTCTCTCTCCCTATGAAGAAAAAAAACCCCTACGCGGGCTCGCATAGCAAACAGACAACTGACCAAAGTCTAGGGGGTACAGTACAGTACGAAAAACAAAAGGGCCAAAGTGTATCCATCGCCGTGCATCAAGGGATGCCAACCCAACAGAAAATAAGCGAGTTCTGCACCAACCAAGAAGACCATTCCTTCCTTCCTTTCTTCTTTTCCGCGTCCATCCTTTTCATCGATCGATGCTCAACCATACTTTTTTTCCCACCTTCCTTTTTCTCTCTTCTACTCAACCCCTTCAGTTAAGTGTCATGCTCAACCATTCAACACCCAACAAAGAAAAAAAATAAGGCGAGTGAGTACAAGAGAGAGTCAGAGAAGCGAATCCACTCCTTCCTTTCACTCTTTCCTTCCTTCACCACCCACTCGCACACTCTCACTCATTCTTTGGAAAACCTTAATTCTCTTTAGTTGGACGATGTTGCTTACCAAAAGGCAAAAAGAATAAAAATAATTCTCCTTTTGGGTAGAGAGGATGAATTGCTCCCGGAGAGAAATGGAGGTGGAATAGAAAGCACATGCAATTGAAGACGGTGTCTGTGTGCTCTGTCCACCCGATCGACGGAGACCTTTGGAATTTTTTTATGGCTGACTTGCTGCTGATGAAGCATAATCAAAGAGTTTTACCAGAGAGGAGACAATCACCATCACCACCATCACCACCACTAATGCCCCTATCTTCCCTTCTCCCTATTCTCTTTTTCTCCTTGAACTCCACTTATGTACAGTACGTGCCATGCCGCTCGTCCCTTCTTGCCTTTAAGCGCTCTTTCAAAATGAAAACATACCCCAACTCCGTTACTTGGTTCTCATTCATTTCTTTTGACTACAGAACAATTCATTTATATGTAGTTCATACATTGGCCTTCTGCCACATCCTACCAGGAAAGGGTCTCGTTAAACTAGCCCTTGCCTTCTCTCTAGGACGACAGGAGGAACTCTAACTGTGCAGCCTCTTGAGCCATCTCCTCCTCAGTCCGAGGCTGTCTATCCTCATTATCAACCCCCTTGGCGCCCACAGTGTTTCTTAGGATAGTAACCACCTTCTCGGGATGCTTCAACAGCTCGCTCGAGTTGGCCGTGATCTTTTCATAGATGTCGTCGTTGTTGACAAAGTCGCCAAGGCGGCGAGGGATCACATGGACATGACAATGGGCTACCGTCTGACCAGCTAAATAGTATGAGTATCGCGTAAAGATGGCGAGGGGGGTTAGATGGGCTGCACTGCAGATAAGAACTTGGGTTAAACGTGTCAGCTCTGTGGTCCTGAACCGTACCTGCCGGTCCATCCTATGACGAGAGACAAATAATATCGATTTGAGCGTTAGTACAACATAATGCCTTCCCAATGTCAAACTAGGATAAAAAAGCTACTCATGCTACTTTCTCAATGTTTTACCTGACAAGCAATCGTCAATGACGTCGCGCCGTACTCCTTCTCGATGACCTTGCCTATCCTCTGCGCCGACTGGAACATATCGCTGACCTGGAGAACAATCCATTACGTAAGAATTAAGGAGAAAGGTCAGAAACCCGTTGCGTAGCTGACAAGACCATGGGGTTTCCCCGTCAATTGATACCGCTGAACATCGAAAACACCCATGGATATATCCTCACTCTCACAGTAAACATCTAGGACGAACCTCTTCAGGACTCAGGTCAAGGAACCGTGGGACATTGCGTCTACTAATCACCAAGACATCTTTTCTCAGTAACAATAAGAAAAAAAAGGGATATATATGAAAAAAGAATGGGCAAGGTTTCTATGTGTCAGTCGTTTCAGTAGATCCTGCTGCATGTATCCATATTATCTTCCATGTGAACCAAATATCCCAAGGTAGTAGAAGGAAAGAAGTACTCACGACCACTAGAATCAAGACACCAAGTGTATAAAAGGTATGAGATCCATAAACAAGTGTGGGAGTATGGTGATCAGCATGGGTTATTCCGTTGGGGTTGGTTTCTGTCTGTCTCCCCTTTCTCGGTCGTTGTCTCGCTTTTGACATTCTTCGTAAGCTTCTACGAAGCCCTTTTTTTCGCCATGCGGCGATGAACACAGATCATGCTTACGGGAGAATCGGCTTCAGGTTGACGAGTCCGAGGGAGTACTGTGTCTTGTAAAAAACCTGACCTGCGCTGATGGTGTGAGGTCCGAACTTGTATACTGTTGACATGGTGACTTCGTGATGCAAATACAACAAGTAAATGTGTAAGAGTGAGGTAAAGGCAGGTGGGCTGCAAAACGCGAAATTCAAATAAACGCCTCATGTCCACCGTCACATTTATTTACGGGATAATATTATCATGTTCACTCCATGAGACAGCCTTAGGCGAGGACGATGTCCCAGATCCCGTTATCGTCTCTAAAGTCATTGTGCACAACATTGAACAGCCAATAGTCATGTCCAATCTGGTGGAGCAGCTTCTGAGAGGCAGACTCCTTGGGGTACAGGTGCTCCCACTCCCTCCAGATCTCAAACGCCTCGTCGCGCCACGCCAAGAAGGACACCTTCTCAATCACCGTCGGCTGGATAATCTCCTTACCAGGGAACACGCCCCACGTCACCGCATTTGACCCTTCAAACAGCGCGTCGTCTCCTCCCTTGGTGAATGGTGCAGCACACACGGGTGTCTCCTCTGACAAAGTCGTCTTGATCGAGCCGCTGGAAGATGGTGTGCCGTTACAGACCTTCTTGAGCTCGGCAATCTTTCTCTGCTCCTCCAAAACATCACCCGTCGCGTTGGTCACGACCTCGCCATCTCGGCTCGCGGCAAAGAAGGTGATCCAGGGCGAGCTCGTCCTCAGCTTCTGAACCATCGCGGCGACCTCGTTGGGTCCAACAAACAACTCCACAAACGCCTTCTGGTATATATATCCTCCCTTGGGTCCCCATCCCACAAGAGGGTCTGTGCTGGGCTTGCCGCTGACCGCGGGTTGCGATCCAACCGTCCAGAGTCCGCGCTCGTTACAGCTGACCAATCGAGATTGAATCGCCTCCGTCTCAGGAAGTGGGCTTCCCTCAGACCAAGGCAGGAGCGGGATCTTACCCTGAATAAACTCGACAAACAGGTTACTGATATCTTCCACACTGGTAGGTCTCTTCCACATCTCCAACGCTTTCCTGGGCTCCACCTTCAACGAGGCGCCATATCCGTCCAGATCTCCGAAAGCGGGCGAACGGGCGTCTCCCCAACGTCCGTTAGGGAAATCATCCCACGATTCCGACCTTACTTGAGCCTCGGTGGTATTCCAGATTAAGGGGTTGAGATAAGAGTCCTTGGCGATCGCATCTGGGAGCCCTTCGTCAGTGTTGACATGAGTTGGGGCATTGAGTGGTTGCAGCTTACGTGACTGAGCTGCTGGTCGGACAAAGCCGACGCGTTCCAGAATAAGGCGAACAGACTTCTCCAGGTTCAGAGTGCAGATGTGGAAGCCTGTAATCCCGGCATCCAAGAGCTGCTGGATCATCTTTGCGGCCAACTCTACACCATAGTCCTTCACCTTCTGGTCATCACTCTAGTAAAGATGGAATAAACAGGAACATGTCAACTTTTGACTCTTCACAAGTGCATCCTTCACACGCGTCCAATAAAGCTCAATTTTTTCTTACCTGGATAGGCTCCAGTGCAGCGGCAACGGTAGCGGGAACGCGAATTTTGGCGAGGTTGGTGATTCTCCTGAATCCGTTGCAGGACTGGATGGGCATGATTCCAGGGATGATGGGACAAGTGATACCCAAAGCGCGACACTGCTTCTCCCAGGCCAGGAAACCATCGACATCGTAAAATAGCTGGGTCAACACGAAATCTGCGCCTGCCTCGATCTTTTCTTTCAAGTAGCCAATCTCCTGGTCGCTGGTAGTGTCCGTACTGTCCATATGTCCCTCAGGATAACCTGTACATCAACATGGAAATAAAAAAAGAGATGTCAATGGGACCATTGGATGAATATCGTGAAATATCCTGGGGTTGTCTACAGGAAAAACAAGATCAAACAAAATAAAAAGTTTTTCCGCCCGCCTTTTCATTTTCCCTTCCTCCCTCCATGGGTCCACAAAATCTTAAAAAACACCATCTTTCCTCATCATTCGCCATCGCCGTGGTCGTTGAGTAGCCAACCAGTTGTACGCGATCCTTTCCTTACCTGCAACTCCGATGCAAAAGTAGTCACCGTACTGCTGGCGGATGTAGCGGACCAAATCAATGGCATGCACAAAGGTATCGTCAATCTGGGTCCAGTACTCCTGACCGCGTGGGGGGTCGCCTCGGAGGGCCAGGATGTTCTGAATACCAGCCTTTTTGGCTTCCTATAATGTCCGTAAACAGGTAGCAAGCAAAGCAATGCAAAAGCATGGGATCAATGCGTGCCCGTAACCAACAATCCCCAGTGGGAAAAAAAGGAGATGAAAAAAAGCAGTCGTCGAACTAAAAAAATGAGATCGATGAGAAGAATAAGATATCTTACCGCCAATGCGTCGTCGACCTTGCCACGATCCATGTTGGTACATGTCAGATGCATGCAGGTCTCCAGTCCGTGGACCGTCTGTGCCACCGCGCTCAGCTCCGTGGTCTTGTCAAACGTCGACCCGCCCGCGCCCCATGTGCACGTAATAAACGTAGGCGACAAGGTTTGCATTCTCCCGATACGGTCAAACAGGTTCGACAGACCCTACCAAGATGGACAGACCGTGACAAGAGAGAGAAGAGAATTCGCACATGGATACGGAAACAACCATTGCCATCCAGATACAAGAACAGGTGTTTGAGGACACAGACAAAAAGAGAAAAACAGGAATTGGTGGCAATCATGTTCGGATGGGGAAATTGGAGGTTTCCGGAGGAAGGAGGTTAGGAAGAAAATAGGAGGCCAGCCGGAGAGGAAGGGAGATGAAAGAGAAAGAAAACGAAGAAAGAAGGTCCAGAAGTGAATATCGTGCCAAGACTACGTTCAAGTTTACATTCCATTTATCTCAATGCATATATCAATGGCGTTCAGAACAGCTCCTCGCTGCTTACCTGTGTGGTCTTTGGGGGGAAGTACTCGAACGAGTAGAAGGGTTTGCCCTCGGCGGACTTTTGTGCAATCTTGTCGACAATCTTCATGGCGAAGAGAAGAACAGCTGTTGGTATTGATGAGTTGAGAAGAATAAAAAGGAAAGTGGGAGAAAGGTGTTGAAACAGGGAACAAGGGAATATGAACGAGGAATCGTCTAGTGGGGGGAGGGGTGATGGGGAAGAGAGAAAAGGAATGGACGATGAGTTGAGAAATGAACGAGAGCAGTCTCTGCAGTCTGCAGAGGGGAATTCGGAGTTGAAGAGTCATAGGTGATAAAAGTATGGGCGATCTCATGGCAATATGATTGGCCAATCGATCGTGATTGATCATTGGGCATGGCAGACACAGAAACACAGTGAGGATCGCTCACGCCACCAACATCTAGGGTTGACATGTCCTAAGCACAAAAGAGCCCAGGACACCGGAAAGTAGTTGAAAGTAGTTGAAAGTAGTTGAAAGTAGTTGATTATATGGTATTTTTCTTGTTTTATTTTTATTTGGTGGAGGTGGAAGGATATCCATTACGATTATTAGTTACAAGGAATGAGACTGGAAGTTGCAAGGTGAAGAAAGGAGAGAAAGGGGAGGGGAATGAAGAACGAGAGTGGAGCTCTAGAGGAAGAAGGAGAAGAGGACGGCAGGGACGGCAAGCATGGCCGACACAACAGCAGTCGTCCTGGTGGCACTCGACGCGAAGTGATCACCACCAGTAGTTCCCTTGCTGGTATTGTCGTGTCCAGGGCCTTTTCCTGCCGTAGGGCTGTAGTTGTTGACGTTGACATTAACCTGCCCATGCTTGTACTCCTGGCCACCAAATGACTTTGCGTCATTCACGTATCCATTGTCCTTGATGGGATCCTTCTTGTAGGGGTACTTGTCGTTCACACATCCATCCAGACGGACCATATCATATCCATGAGCGTTGATGGTGTTGATAACCTTTGGAAGCGCCGCCGCAGCACCCGTGGTGGGGACATCATACCCCGTAACAATGTACGACGCCTTGCGACCATAGGCTTCCTGTTGCTTGGAGAAGATCGAATTATAAACCTCCGCGATCTGACCGGCCTTGTCAAGGGTGTTGTACTTGTAGTCGTACTCGTCCAAGTTGAAGCCTACAAGGGTGTACCCCATCGACTTGACAATGTCCAGCAGACGTGGGTCCTTGACACTGGCCTCGTGGACCTTCATGTACTTGGGATAGACGCCGATCAGATCCTGGATTGTGCGCGAGGCACGGCCAATGTCCTCCTTGATCTCGTTGTCGGTCAGACCATTGGAGGTGTCGGAGGGCAGGCGGTAGGTCATGGCGATCAGGTGGCCGTCCATGTAGGCGTGGCGGGTTACTCCGGCGTACTGCATGTATTGGAGCCATGTCGCGTTGGTGAAGAATGTCACCTTGGCCTGCGCGTCCTTGAGACTCTGGAGCATCTCCATCGTCGCCTCTGAAGGCCCTTCGCTCTACAAAAACAGATGCATAATGTTCATTTGGGATGCTCGGTTAGGTTGGGGTTGAGAAACAATCGGAGTTTTTGTTCATCCTGCATGGAGAAAGAGGCAATGTGTTTACATAGGTGAGAGCAATCTGCCCGGGAGTCTGGCAAGAGGTTAAAAAGTCGGCCCAGTTGACTGAGGGACTTTGAGCTGCAGCCATCAGAGGCAGAGCTATCACAATATGAAATGGACGGGGACGCGTCAGTGATAGAGTTAAATCACAATAAAAAAGGGGGCAGGAGCTGAGTAGGTCGTTATTACTCGCCTTGGGGGTGCATGAGCAGGGTACACGACATACCTGCAAGCGAGAGGACGGCTGGGGTAGAGATACGCATCTTGGATTGAGTTTTTATGAATGTGTGATAGATTTAGGGTTTGGTCGTTTGGGAGACCAGTAGGTGAGATTGTGTAGGGCCGGGAGAAGAAAGAGGTGACAGTGCGAATGAAGTGGAGGAGATCGACAAAGAGAAACGAGAACGGAGAATCTACGCTTGCCTGCACCTTCCTTTTATGTCGAGCCAGGCAGCATCGTGGGGTCGCGTCGGTTGTGTTTGAGATGGCGAATCGGGTGTCAAATTAAACATGCGGCTGTCCGAACAATGGGCATCACCGATAAAAAAAAACGAGAAACGAAAAACAACATTCCACATTCCCATCTGACAATAGTTTTGAATGAAAACAAAAACATTAACGGCGGTAAGCGTAAGCGAGCAGCATAGCTGCATGCAGGTGTATCGATATGGGCGATGGAGAGACAAACAAACAAACAAAGGCATGTACAATGGGTGAAGAGGATGGATATATCATTGAACATTTTTTTTCTATTTTACAAGTCCCACGTCTATGGGTTGCACTCTGCGTGCATATCGTAGCATGTCGGTTAGGTCATTGTTGTTGTCAATGTGGGAGACTAGGCGAATAGCGCCTTCTTCCAGTGAGATCCCCCTCGCTCAGGTTCCTTCTTACTCGGTTCATTCTGACTCGCTCAGTCCATCTCGTCGCTGTTGTTGCTGGACGTGGATCCTTGCGGCTGGCTCTTGTCTTTCGTGTAGCTCGGGTGTTTAGTCTTGATATGCCGAACCAAGTCGGCTCGCCTCGAAAACCGGGACTTGCACTTTGCACCAGTTGCCAACTTTCCATCGCAGGCATAAGGCCTCTCGTTGTCGTGGGCGAGCATGTGAGAACGGAGATTGAAGGGCCTTGTAAACCTCTTTGAGCAACGAGGGCAGGGGTGCCTGGCTGGGCGCGACGAAACCGCAGTCGATGAAGATGAGGAGGGCTCGATAGGTATGCTCGACACGGCCGCCTCCTTGACCTCTTCCTCCAGATCCGGTGCAGCTGCAGATGCAACAGCGTGCCCCGATTTATTTTCAGGTGATAGGGAGGGCGACTTAGATCCAAGTTCTTCGATTCTGGTTGAAGGGAGCGCCTCGGTGGCCGATCTGTGTTCACCCTGAAGATAAGTCACACTGACTGTTGTCCGGAGGTGAACAGCTATCGCGGCCGAAGATCCAGTTTGCGCTGGTTGTGTGCTTATGGACCAACCTTCCGGCCGATGACTTGACACTGCTGCCAGGGCTTGCGTTTCTGCTGCCAGTGGCTCCAACACAATATCTTCCAAGTCCTCTAGAGTGGGCAGAGTTCTTGACCGTGCGCGGGTCCTTGGCGCCTTGACTTGACCAGCGGTGACAAACGCATCTGTAAGAGAAGTCATATGACTTGAATACTCATCGTCACTCTGTGTGCCCAGCTCCTGAGGATCTACCTGCGCAAAGATCGACCCGAACTGCGAGCGCTGTGCCTGCTGCATGTGCTGGAGCTGCAAGTGTTGCTGTTGTAGTTGTTTTTGGTGCTGCTGCTGTAGCTGGTATTGTTGCTGCAGTAGCTCGTGTTGCTGCATGAGTTGATACTGCTTCTGGCGACGCTGCTGGTGCTGATGATAAAGCTGGTCCCGAAACGGTTCTTGGGGATGGTATTGCTGTTGTTGCTGTGGCTGCCGCACGACCAACGGCTGGGATGAGAGCTGGGTTTGGTGGCCTGAGTGCAGATAAGATGACTGGTCCTGTTGGTATTGATGATAGAGCACAGATGGTTGGGGTAGTTGAGATGGAAGGGGCGAATATCCAAAGTAGTCGCTCCTGCTCTGGTATCCTTCTCCTGGTGTCGAGACCGTATCTGACGAATATCCCTGAGATGACCTTCGTCTGTTGAGTATCTGCCTTGGCAAGTCCTGAGGAGAGTCGAGGGTGTGTATCAATTCTGCTGCAGGGTCCCCGAAAGTGTTCATTCCGGCGACCGTGCGAACGCTCCGGTAGGTATCAGCAAAGGCATTCGGTGGTGGTGGCGGAGGCGAAGCGATGCTGTTGTAGTTATAGGAAGGGTGTTGTCCTTGTGGGACTTGCTGAGGGTGATATTGAAGGTTGGCAGACCTAAATTGCTGGGACTGAGATGAGTGCGAGTGGGCGTACTGGGGACCTCCAGGGGCGATCCCAGGGGCCTGCCCTGTTGAGAGATCCATGGAAGAGGCGTGAATCGCGTATGGGCTGTTGTGCTGGAGCCCGGGCGGCTGAGGCGGCAAAGCCATGGATATAGATGAGTTGGAGGCCACGGAGGGCGAGGAGGAAGTTGAGGGCGTGTGTGGAAGCGGGTCAGAGCTGGCCGGACTGAAGGTGTAGGGAACGAGGGTCGAGGATGGATGCTGGAGGAGCGGAAGGGGCGAAGTCGAGTAGGTCTGGTTGAGGCGGTCACGGGATCGCTTGTTGGCAATTTTCTTGTGGAAGGTTGCCCCTGCAGCGTCGGGAAGGGAAGGATCGCCTGTCAATAGTCCTGAAGGATCGCCCTTGTTCCCTCTTGTCCTACGCTTCCCCTTGGCAGGGATGCACTGGCCGCCGCTTGGTTTGCCCAGACTGTCCATTGCCCCTTCAATTGTCCCTGCTGTCCCTGCTGTCACTGCTGTCCCTGCTGGTGTATCCAGTTGCAGTTGTGATGCCGAATAAGGGGAGGTGCTGACGCTGGGAGAAGTGCAGGGCGTTGATAGAGCAAGGTTGCTTGTTGCCACTGTGAGAGAGCCGACTTGTCTCTCATTCGGTCCTCTTGATAAAATGTTCGATGTTTCAGGTGCCGGTTGGCCATCAGAGATAGGCACTTGATTCATGGCAAGCGTCATCGAGTAAGCATCCTCCTGCGAGATGGATGATCGCGGCGAATGTGTCGAAAAGCCAAAGAACCTCTGAGCGGGTTGGGTGTCATGCAGGTAAGCAGGTCCGTACTCCTGAACCTGAGGGGGTGTTGTTACAGAATCGATATTATCGCGAAGGATGTCGTTGCTCTCTACTCGTGCTGGCCCTGATGGTGCTGTTGTTGTCGCCGGTGGCATGGGCGCCAGCGGGTGATGATGACCGGCGGGATAGGCTGTCGAGTGCGTGGAGATTCCAGATAGGTGAATAAAAGATCCGCCTGGTTGTTCAAGGTTTGAACGCGGTTGAAAGTCAGACGTAGGCTGGATCAATCCTTGGTGTTGAATGCGGGCATCGTACGATTGTGAATGGGCTTCAGAAGGCTGTTGGGGATGCTGGATACTCCACTCTCCTGACATGCCATCTCCTAGTGTGCCAAAGTGGGCGGGAGACGCTGACGAATGGGAGAGAGCCTCAAAGGAATCCTGTGAGAAAACGCTCTCCAGTGGGCTTGTAAAGTTAAAACTGGAAGAACTATGGATGTCGGTGCGGGCTGTGGGATGGGTCTGGTTCTGGGTGAAATCTGGTAATTGCCCGTACCCGACAAGCTGGCTCGGGTAAGGATCAGACCAAGACACAACAGATGGAAGCCGGGGTTGGCTGTCTGGTTGCTCTTCCTTGTTGGCTTGACGGAGTTCTGTGAAAGGAGTCGTCATCGTCGGAGATTCGCCAGCCAGAGATATGTCGATCCTACAAGACAACGTCCACAGCAAACAAAAAGATAACAAAGATCAGCGCCAAAGAAGGAATACGTAAGCAAAAAGAAACATCCCTTCATTGCAAAAGACATACATGTCCTCGTCGCGCACTGTTTGTTGTTTGCTGTATGTTTTTCTTTTTGACTTTTTTTCTTTTCTTTTTCTTCTCTTTTCTTTTTTGCTCTCTTTTTGAGTGTCTCTCAACCTTGTTTTTTCCTTTACCTTTACAATGTGACGCAAAGGTACACCGAAACACGATGCTCACTCCGAACTTGTCGTTTGGAGACGTCGGTATCAGACACCCTGCTTTCAATTATGGGCTGCTTGTCTACTTTTCCTGTGGTTGCTGGATGGATTTGTACAGGGGCAGATACTTGAGGCGACGTCAATGTGAAGCAGAAAGTAAATAAAGGGTGACAGATGCGCAAGCGCACAGCGGGAAAGCAGCAAATAATAAGGAAGAGAAAATTGAATGAAAAAAATAGATGCAACAGAATAACGAATGTAAATAAATAGTGCCGCTGTACAGTCCTCTGCGGGCCATCAGAGCAAAGTCTCGTCCCGCTTCTTCTTGGGATTGACTGTATCTGGCATGTGAGCGTACAACGCTGTTGACAGAGGAAATCAATAGTGCAGCGGGATGGAATAACAAAGGAGAAAGGGGGAATAGACAGAAGGGAAGAAGATGGCAAGAAAATGAAGAGGGTACCTCAGATAATGGGTCAAGACGTGTCGAAGGTTGGCCGGGAGTTGAATAGGTGTGGCGGTTGAAAATAACGAAGCAAAAGGAGACTTAAAAAGTCAAGCTCACTTTCACAGAGAGGACAGCTTAAGGGAAAAAATTCATGGGCAGAAAGTGCTTCAGTACGTGGCGTGGCGCGTGAACAGGGAGGGAAGGAAGGGAAGGAGGGAAGGAGAGCTATGAAAAGATGATCTTGGACTTGGGACGGTGGTTGAGATATTCCGTCCTGGAGCAAGGAATAATATGGCGCGAGACGGGGCCAGAAAAAAAAGTAGGGTTGGGGGTCGACTGATGAAGAGTAGGTTAAGGTTAATGGTTTGTGAAGCGAGTAATATTGAGGCGATATTCAAGGCGGATGGTGACAAGTGAGTGCTCTGCGAGCAGACGGGGTGGTTGAAGGTTCAAGGTGAGTGGCAGTGGTTTGCTCGAAGAGGCGCGGGGTGAAAGGTTCGTTGGGTGAGGCAAGGGTAACGAATGAAAATGAAAGGGAGGATAAGGGGGAGGAAAGGAAGTGAAGAAGGTGAGAGAGCAAAGAAGCAAGTGAAGCGGAGAGGTCGGGATAAGAAGAGTTGGTGAAGGCGAGAAAGGGATAAGGAAAAAGAAGAGGAGGAGAAGAGAAGAAGAGGGGTGGTGACGATTGGGTATAATAAGGATTGTGAAAGGGAATGAAGGAAAGAGAGAGGAGGAGAGAAGCTAAGAGGAAAGAGAAAAGAGAAGGGAAGAGAAAGAGAAGGGAAGAGAAAGAGAAGAGAAAGAGAAAGAGAAGAAGAGAAAGAGAAGAAGAGAAAGAGAAGAAGAGAAAAGAAAGAAGAGAGGAGAGGAGAAGAGTAGAGAAGAGAAGAAAAGAAAAAGCACTAACGGAATAATAATAACTGCCTTCCTGCATTACCTACTCCCATGCTCGTTTTGAATGTTGTTATTGTTGGTATTGTTGTTATCTAGTCTTTGCTGTTGTTGTTTGGCGGTGTTGATGTTATTCGGGTATTCCTGTTCTTTGCTTGTTGAGGGCTATGTGTCGATACCGCCTTCTGTTGTCCTTTGTTTATAGCCATAAAGCCAAATGTGCATGTCAAGTGTCAAGGTTGATCGTGGCTGTGGAGACATGATACTCCTTGCCATAAAACTCTTTTTCTCGTTCTGTCAAATTCCCTGCCTTGCTGCAGTATAAAGGTATAACTCTCTTTCTATTTTCATTGCTCATACTCATCCTTATACTCAGGGGATCATAGAACAAGGACTGTTGAAAGAGAGAGAGAGGAAGAGAGAGAGAGAGACAAAGAGTAAAGGAACGGATGAACATAGTTTGCATTTGCTCCATCTTTATTTTTTCTTCATCTGAGCACTTTTTGATTCTCTTCATTTTTTTGTTCATTTTTTTTGGTTCCTCTCTCTTTTCTTTGCGCTGTTACTTTCGTTGCATGCTCCGGAGCGATCGACCCATCAGGTCTACTCGACCATCCTGTCTACTGCATTGTCGCATAGTCCTGATTTGTCGATGGTCAACCATTACCGGCACCCCTCTTTCTATATGCACCATTCCTCTCCACAACCACATATTCATGCTATGTTCTATTCTATAACCTAATCAGTCATTCAATTCGGCAAACACGAAAACAGTGAACAACCCCCACTCCTGTCTTCACTCGCCTCCTCTCCTTCTACACTTCCACTCTTTTCTTTTCCTTGTTGTTGTTGTTGTTTTGTTCGTTCAAGTCGTTGCGCTGCGTTACTTATCACGCAGCACAGAGAGTCCAAGTTCGAACAACCTTTTTTTCATATCTCGCGCCCGCTTTGTTCCCATTTTCTTCTTTCTCCCAGTCTCTCCCTCTCCTTCTCTTCGCCTTCGCGCCCCTTTTCTCCTGACATGCCACAAATGACCCCAATACAAAGGGCAAACTACTTTAGAATAATTCACAATCCGGTTTTCAGCGCCAGTCTCTGGCGCCATTCTATCCCATACCTTTCTTCTTCGTCTTCTACTTTAACGCAGACCCACTCGCATGTCCCATCGACTATATGCTTTTCTGGATTCTTTGTTGTTTTCGAAATTTCTGCAACCATTTTTCCTTTTTCCCAATGAAGCCGCCTGAACTTTGTTGAATGGGTTTGTTTACCTGACCATTGCTGCTTTCTATACCATCTACTTTTCAGTTTCTTCCCCCTTGTGTTCGAAAAAAACATAACGAAAAAACAAGGGCTGCAGGTCAAATCACTTCCTTCCGAAGAAGATGTGCAGTAAAAAGGGAAGGGGGTTACAAACTCTTTTTACTTCTCTTTCATTCATGCGTTTTTTTGTTGTTTGTTGGTTTGCAATGACGAAGATGTAATCGAATGCATAGCACAAAAACTGTTTACTGCATTAAAGATCTCAACCGCTCCCTCTTTTTATTACCATTAACCCCTGAATTGTTGGTTCCTTCTTTTTTCTTTTCCTCCTCAGTCTCTTTTCTCTTTTCTCCCCCGGTTGTCTTTCTACGTGTGTGAATCTGTTGACCATAGCACAATAGTCCTTGTGAGACGTCCATGAAACATTTCTAAGCGAAAAACCAATTCCATCGTCGAAATCGAGATTGGGTACACTGACGAAAGGAAGAAAAAGAGCTTGGTCCTTTTGAGAGCCGTTGAGATTTGCCTCAGGTGCGGGGATCGCCTTTAGGTGTTTCTGTGATTGTTCTTTTTACTTTCTCTTGGCTGAACAAACACATGCCCTCTTTTCTGACAGGCCTTGAAAAAAAAATGGAACGATGGTAGGAAATAGTCAAAACGGCAATCTTGAGCAAAACTTTTAACTTTTACTATGATCAATGTACAGTACCATGCTGTGTGCGGGCGGAAGGAAGAAGTAGTAAAAAAAACACATCGACAATTGAAGTGAGTACATGTATAACAAACGTACATACAAGAAAAATAGGGTCGGTCGTTCAAACTAAGGGGGATCATGCATGCTGATCGCCCGCATGAGCACAAGCGTCAACACCGACTCTTTCCTTGGTTGTTTCCTCTTTTTTTATACGCTCTCCTGCATCGCTAAAAGAAATTGAGTAGGTGATGCGTCTTTATTGTGCCTACCCTTTCCTTCAAATCCCCTGCTTGGTTTAAGAGAGAGACATCATCCAAGCAAATCAAGCGAGCACACAAGGCACACGCGGCTTTAACAAAAAAGTCGCAAAGACGCAACTTGTCCTACATGCACCTTCCAATTGCCTTTTTGTTGTTTTGTTTGAACCCTCAAACGAGACGCGTGTTGTCCCATGCGGAGGAACGCCAATCTGCTTGTTGATTGTCTCAAATGTGTATCTGTGCATTGGACTTTTTGACTGCATCGCATCGTATTGATGAGTTTGAGTTCCTTCCTCCCCTCTCCCCTGCCTCCTTATTCTGCGTTTTGGCGAGATTCAAAAGTCAAGCACCCTTTTCTTTCCCTTCTATCCCACTCTCTCCTTTCTTTTGTACTTCTAACGCTGTGCATCTACGTCAACAGGCAAAAAAAAAAGGCTAGATGCGAAAGGCGTCAGGGCGATCAGTTGCCTACTCTCAATTTCTCTACCCCCTTCCCTTTCTCTATCGACTGGGTTAACAAGGAGACTAGCTTTTGATGGGAAAGTGTCATAATAATCCAAAAAAAGAGATAGAAACAAGGGTAAAGTAAGAAACAAGGGCGAAAACACTCCAAAATGACTACAATGACAGAAGTGACATCCACCATACGCGCCCTTGTTTTTTGGTGGGGAAGCGAGACGACGGATATCAATTTTTCCTACATTTTTCTTGTCGGGGGTCATAATCGTCGTGCAGCTGCATCGCGTTTATTGTGTGAGTCGCGGAAAGAAAAATGATGAAAATTTGCTTGTCTTTTCAATCTTATGCACGTCGCCTTCCTTTTTCTCAATGAAAACAAGGGTTGTTGCTCTCCTCTTTTTCTCCAAGCATTCATTCGGCCCGTCATCCTACCTAGTCTAGTTTTGCACTTTCACACTTGAAAGAGACTGACAGAAAAATAATGAGTAAGAATGTGAACAAAAGAGGCATTGCAAACTGAAACGTTCGTGTGCGCGAGTTATGCCGCCCCGTATTGTTATGCATGGTCCCACAGGAAAAGAAACTGGCATTGGACTTTTATTTTTGCGCACACCGTTTAGTTCATGGTTGTGTTTACCGCGTTGCGTTTGCATGAATATTCCGCCAAATAAGGAGGATCCTGTTAAAATAAGGACGGCGGGGTCTCTCACCTTAGAGGTCAAGGGGAGCGGGAGGAAGAGGGGACCAAGCAACAAGAAACCAAGAAACCCCCCCGCTCAGCACCGCCACAGAAAGATCATCAACAATGAGAAAAAGATTGGTCGATACACTATCAAGCTGAATTATTAGCAATTTCATTTCCTTGTACACTCTCAGTGGTCAGCATCGCGCGTGAAATTTCGCGATCAAAAGTGGTTTTTTGTTTTCTCTTTCTCCCTCCACCTTTTTTTCCCTTCCTGCTAGTGAAGTGACAAAGCGACAAAATCATGCCTGTGCAAAATTAGTCTCCCAAACGGAAGGTGTTCTGTTGTTTGTATTCTCAAAGCGAAGAAACACAACATATCTCAAGGGATGAGTGATGCGCGAAAGTTGACAGAGGTCAAGTAGGAAAGAGGGGAAGACAGAGGAAGGAAGAGAATGATGAAATGATGGACTTTAGACGATGTTATGATTTCCTTTGTTCCTTTTCTCTCTCTCTCTCTCTCTCTCTCTCTCTCTCTCTCTCTCTCTCTCTCTCTCTCTCTCCCTCCCTCTCTTTCTCTCTCTTTATATTTTTCCGTTAACAGACATATGCCGTTTTCTATCCCACCCTGCAAAGTACAGTTCAGGTATGGCACAAGAGAACAAAAATATGATCTGGCAAGGATAGGAGAGAAGAGTCGGAGCTTCAACGGATTGGAAAATCCTGGCCCTCCTTTCTTCTTTTATGTCTATCTTGACTCTCTGTATTCATGGAAAAGAGCACGCCGTCGAACTCAACACCCTTTTCGGGACTTCTGCTCTGGGAGGAATATTCTTCAAGGAAGGTGAGAAGGAAAGAAGGACGGAAGGAGCGAAAAAGAAGGGAGGCAAAAAAGAGCCAATCGCCGTTCATATTGTGAGAGGGAGGAGGAGAAAAATAGAGCTCTGTGTACACAAACATTCTTTGTGATTGGAACGGGAGGACGAGGGAACAAACAAGATCTTTCATTCGGCAGCCAGCATCTGCGGTAAAAAAGCACCCAAAAGAAAAATGAAGAGATGGTAATTCTTCGTGCATTCGCCCATTCTGCGAGCGCGCGTGCGATAATACCTGATGAGAAAGCAGCGAGCGTGCAACCCCTTTGAGCATCCTCTCAATGGAAGTTGTACTATGGAAGGAGAACGAGGTGGAGGAGAGGAAGGATGATGAGGAGTGCAGGGAGTAAGGAAGAAAGGCATGGTTACGTCAAGTATTGCGGCGGTCCATTTATTCAATTGTGTCTACATCGACGCCTGCACAAACTTCAGAGAAGGCTAGGCAAAGACAACTTCCATCGATATAAAGCACTAAGCACACCATCGCCTTTTATCTCAGTCCTGCAACTCTACCAATTTTGTATGCTCTTTCCTTCACCCTCTGAGTTATTGCGCTTCTCTTCAACGCTCAAACTACTCACTGTTGTTTGTTTTCAATCGAGGTGTGTATGATTGTTTAAATTATTTATTTTCTCATCTAAGATACGGTATAACAAGACTCTCTTTGTGCACAAAATAAAGAAGGGATAGAGCAAAATAGACAAGGAGGAAAGATTGGGAAAAAAGAGAGGGAAGATTAAACAAGTAGGGGGGAATCAATAACTGCGAATCCTGCAGCAACACCGCCCTCATTGCTTTCGACCCCCTTTGTGCGGAGCAAATGGCCTCCGTTATCGTTCCGGATAACCTTGTGGCCATCGTGCAGGTAAATGCCATAGACCCCCAACTCTGAGACAACATCTGCCCGCAGGAGCTGACCCTTCCTGAGGAGGACATTCTTGGTGATGGGTGGCCGGATGATATCCATCAAGATGTACGCGTTCCTCTGCTCTGCCGTCAATGTCTTGAGCGACTCCTGAATGTCCTTCCCGTAAATGTTGTTCCCTATGCGATGATTGTTATCGGACAAAGAGGTTAGGTCATGCGTTAGAGTGATATACCACATGAAAACAGCGCCTCGAGAAAGTTCTTTGTGTTGTTTACCTCCTCCTTCGCGCTGGGGCTTCATGACAAGCTCGTCACTGTTTTTGAGTGCAGCTTCATAGGCGGCCAGTCCCTCGGGTGAATGATCCAGGGGGTAAAGCCCAGTGAACGATGCACGGAGCTGACGAACCGTCTCTGGATTCTTGACAAACCGCTCCAGCTGACCGGGAGCCGCCAGGACCTGCTGGACCTTCTTGGTACCAACGAGTTGATATGCGATTGTGGGACACTTGATCGCCAGCGACTTCTCTGCAAGTAGTCTACCATCCCATTCCTAATTGTTATGAGAAGTGATTTTGGCGCCATTAGGTCAGTGGCTTTTTCCTGTAATATTGAGCATTTTTCTGATGTGGACTGAACACTCATCGGAAAACGTACTTTTTCTGTTGGGTAGTCAGTCGTGGCATAGGCCGATCGGTAATATGCGACAGAAACTTCCTGATCGCCACTATTGAAATGAAATACAGCGTAGGCGTCGTTAGACATCTGCGTAAAGTCGAGCGTGATCATCCGTGATAGGGAATCAGTTGCTCCGGCTCTACACCAGCATGCTTACATGAAGAGAGCCTTTGTCTTGGGGTCCAATCGTCCTTGGTCTGCAACCTCTGCAAGAGTTTTCCTGATAAGTACTACTCCGTGCCTAGAACGTATCAGGGATATTGAACGAATTAGCTCTTGAACGGAATTGCTCCTTGATAACTGGATGATCCTTATCAAGATCACTGATCCTGTGTCTTTACTTTTTCAAGAGGTTGTATTCGATCCATCGCTGGTCAAAGGCATTCCTCTCGCCAGGCTGAACCACCATCATGACCTTTGCACTATAATAAATGGAAGGAACAATTATTAGTACTCCTTGTATCGTTTCTCCGTAGTTCATCATTGAGAACATCCAGTCAATCTGTCAACCTACGCTTTGGATCCATAGTGCTTGTGTGCAGAAGCCAGTCCGGAAGCAATTGACTCGATCGAGTCACTATTGGGCAATGCAGAGATGTCGATCTTGTCTGAAAAGTATCCTGTAGTTGTCTGCAAGTATCTATTGCAAAAAAACAAAGCGAGCAGAAGGCCGGTGTCAATGCCCTGGTGTACGGAAATCTAATGTAAAGCCTACTTATAAATCCAATTGATTGACTTCCTGTCATGATTGGTTTCTCCACTGTACCTGTGAAGGTCTCCTGTGAGCGACGAGAGACTGCCAAAGGAGACAGAGATGGTGTTGAGCTCGACCTGCTTGATCTCTGCCTTGGAAAAGTCCTGACCTGGGTTCAAGTTAATGATATAGTCCGATCGATGCACACCCAACGAAGCAGGCTAGAAAGCAAAAAAGTAGAGGGGAAAAGAAACGCGTATACATTTGTCAGCGATTCTCTTCCGAATCTCCATCTAACATTTTTCTTTCCGATCGTTGGGGGAAAAGCAGTCCACTCAGAGCAGAGCATTAAAAAAACGCAATTAATCAGCATTCTGGTGCCAGAAACGCAACTTTGCGTCGCCCATGGAAGCTTAGAAAAGTGTATCGTTCACTCCGTTGCTAGAGAATTGCTGCGGGTATCGGCACTGAGATCAATTGCTCGGTCAGACACATACCTGGGCGATGCCTTCCTTCTTGACCTCCAGGTAAAGATCGTAAAGACGCTTAACAAAATCATCAACAGTCGACAGACTAACTCAAAAGCAATTGTAAAGACAGAACAAAACGAATTAGCCTGTTGTATAAATCACTTGAACCATCTACACACCCTACACAGAAGACAAGAGCTAGGGTGCTGCAAAATTGACACTGAACAAGTGTTACCTCTCCATGATCTCCTTCAAGAAAGCATCGTCCTGGGAAATATCGTGCACCAATTGGTTGTAGAGAGGTTGGATCTTGACGGCGTTATTGAAAGCATTGACGGGGAACGGTGTGGGGAAGAGCGCGACGGGTGCATTGATGACTCCTCCTTGCTGAGTAGTGGCGTCGTCGGTAGAAGGTGGTGGGCGAACGACCAGTCCGTTGGAGAGCGCAAAGTCGAGAGCGGCGTCCTTGAGAATGGCGAGTTGCTCCTCGTTCAAAGTGGATGCGAGGTCGATCATCGTTATAATAGTGTGAGTTGAAGTAAAGAAGAAGAGAGGAGAGGGAAGTGTAATGAAAAGAAAGAAGAAAAAAGAAAGAACAAAAAAGATGAATGTAACAGGATGGGAAATAAAAAAGAGAAGGAATGATTAGAAACCAAGTGATTCAACCCCGAACGAGCCAGGGTGCGATCAACCTCGCGAAGAGAGGAGAGAAAATGGTCCGCCCCTGTCCCCTATACGTGAAATGTGTACGTTGCAATGGATGGAGAGATAAAAAATTTGAAGAAATTATGCCTGCATGTTCATGCCCCACACCGCATGTCCGACCGGCGAGTGCATACGACTGCGCTACCACATGGACTGCGCGGTTGTCGGCAAACACGTCTCTATGTCAGTGGCAACGTCAATCTCTCGTCCTTCACCTCTCTTCATTACTTGATAGGAAAAAGAGTAGATCAGTATCCAATAACCACGCGCCTTTTTTAACGCCACCAATTTTCGCTTCCCCTGGCCTTCTTGACTGTTGATCCTTAAAGGCTGTTAGAGTCCTCGTGTTCTCATCCACGTTCCTGCCAGTATCGATCCGATTTGTTCTGTCATGCCTTCCCTTTCAAAAAAATATGATTACAGCGGTCTCTCGGTCTGACACCCACGAGCAAAGAGTTGGTAGAAATGGGAACCAAAGAAAAAATGCGCTCAACCATTGTACGCAATCAAATCGGTTACCCGATACTCTCTTGCTGTGTAAGTTTGTGGCTTACTAGTCTCCTCCACTCCAACGGGCGATGGATTTATTTTTTCATGTCTGAGACGGATGTTTGAGGTTGCAATCTGGACCACGATATTCCAATGCTCGCTATGATCATAATCCGGTTCATAGTAACAGAGGACTCTCATATGGCACATCCCTCGTCCCCTCACCACAAAGGTATATATCACATCATTTCCAGCAACGTCCATTTCTCGGCTCTTTACAAACCGTCTACCTCTTTAGTACTCCTACCCTTTTGCCTTCTCTTTCTAGCCATTCTTATTCACCTGGCATTTTTCCGAGAAAAAAACGGCAGTCCGTGTACTTTTTAGCTGTATTGACTGCACTCACACTCACTCGCCTTGACAGGCTCTACCATCTCCCCAGCTTTCTTTCCTTTCCTTCAGTGATAGTCGTTGGTGGTTGAACTATTCTTCATCCTTTTGCTTCTCCTTTCCTTCCTTCTCAACTCTCCACCTTGCCACCACACTCAGCCCATCCTATCAACACCTGTATCGCAGCACGCCGAAATTTTTATTCACCATCCATCCCATCAGAAACGAACAGACATGTTTCGTCTCGTCAACAAACGGCTGGCTAGCAACCGTGAACTCCAATCCTTAAAGCGGGAGTTCAACCAATGCTCGCTTCCAATCGAATTTGTCTACAGGATCGTGGTCTTTTGTGTTGATGAGATCATGGAGAGAGGACTCAACCATCCCTTCATCCTCAAGAACCCATACTCACCTTCGGTTGTGGCTGCCATGGTCACTTTGATGGCAGATCCTGAGCGCAGAGATCTCTTCTCCCTCAAGTGCACACGAATCGACACTGTAGCCGGTGTGATGTTGGCTGTCTTGAAGAACCTGCGTGAAGCCATTGTTCCCATGGAGATTCAAGAAGCATTAACCTCAGGTAAGTGACCTTTTTTGTCGTGCACTCACGGTATCGCTCTTTACTTTATTTTTAACACGTTCGCTTTTTTGTTTTCTATGATTGTAGCCAACGGCGCGTTCTCCAATGCACCTTCGGGAGCTTCAACCCCCACAGCCACCAGTCGTATCCAATACAGAATCAACACCGTCAACGCGCTATTGAACCATCCCAACTTTCCAGCAGTCAACAGAGCCTTGCTGATCGAGCTCTTGAATCTTTCGCTCGCCATCCTCAACCGCTCCAGTTTCAATCGTGTCAAACCCGACATGCTCGCCTCCATCCTCGGCCCTCACATCTTTGCATCCCAACATGCCACCATTCTTCAACACACCCCACAACAAGCTTACTCCTTCGGATGGGGTGTCGCCCTCGTCAACGACATCAAGCGCTGCTCCAAGATGTTTTACGTGCTCCTGGGAGGATATCGACGAGAGGTCTTGGGTCCAGATGAGTGGGAGTTTGAGAACGGCTTGAGCTCTGCCTCCACTTCGACCTACAACATGCCATTCTTGAATAACATTGCGCCGTTATCTGCACCATCTTCAGGCGTTCCTCTTCACCAATGGCCCGGTTCTGGTGGTATCTCGAGCGCTAGCTTGGATTTCAACGACAATCGGTCACTCTACTTTGGACAAAACTCTCAGCGTCGACTCCACCAGAGTGTACCTCACCTACGGATGGCCACAGTGTCCGTCGATTCCCCTGGGGGACCCAGAACTGACATGTCTCGGAGCTCACAGTCCCGGTATGGAATGGTTCGGAATGTGTCGACGACTTTGACAGAGTCCATCCGTGCTGCCGCCGCAGAAGAAGCCAAGGGCTGGAACCTCGAGCGGTCTAATTCTGGATCCAAGGGTCCTGCCGCACTCGAGCACCTTCGCAGCAGTCAACACCACCAATATGGATCGAGCAACTCTCGCGGTAGCAACGGTTGGGCTGGCCGCCAGAGACGTCAATCAGCACAGTCCATCGAGCAACGCCATCAAGAGCTCTATGACCAGCGGTACAGAGGACGGGCAGAGGACAATGCCGCAGATGAGCTGAGCCATGCCTTCCATCGCCATAGCCTGCACCACCAAGCCGAAGTGGAGAGCAAGATTGTTATCCCGGGCGATGACCAGTCTCGTCAACGGGAGGAAAAGCGCCTAGCGATTGAACAGATGATTCGAGAGTGCCGCGGGACAGGGTTGAACTTTGCATCCAAGGAGAACGAGGTCGTGGAGAATCCCACGCAAGACCAACGCTGCAATCCTCGTCAATATGGCGCCCTTGCCTTCTACTAGCTATATATACATTTGTTTTCTTCTTTTTATGCACTGATTAGACTGGTGGTAGTTGGACTGACCAGATCACGACTACGATAAGGAAGGGCGAAAGAAAGACCTGGGCAGGGTGCTTTGACAAAGGGTGTCCTTGTCCTCCCACATTGCGAATAAAAAGGAAACGTGCCATTTGTGCGACAGCCTCTTGGACAACTATTTCTCTTTTTTTGTGAGCCAGTACTTTTACTTCTTTCTTCTCTTCTCCTCCCCTGACCGTCCCCAACACAACCCACGCTCACACACACACACACGCACACCTCCCTTCTCTTCTCCTTTCACATACAAACTTCCACCATGACAGGAGCTCGACTCACAACTCTCATGCTCTGCCTCATCGCTGGAGGACTTGTCTTAAGCGCATCCCGCTTCAGGTCATCCTCATACCAGGACCTCATCGCTCCCGACCTCATCGACCTCGTCAACCAGGAGCAGACCAAGCTCTCCCTCAACCCCGAGGGGTACAACTACTGCCAAGCACCCCCGCCAACCCTCGAAACATACCCTGCCCCAAAGGTAAGCAGTTGCACAAAGCCTACAGTCGACGTCGCTCCATGACTGACTGCAACCAAAAACCATGGAAGAGAGAACATAGGGAGCAGCAAGTTGATCATTCCAACAAGGTCTAACCTAGGATGCACACTCTCTATGTTCATCGCTGCATAGGTTAAAGGAGCAACACTACTTCATTCCCAACTCTTCATTCGTCATGGCGATCGGTAAGAACACAAGAGCACAAACAAGCAAACAAGGACCCTTGACCGTTTTTCTTTGGCTTCTCACCTGCATGAGGATATCTGTCAAACTCTAATACTTTACATTGTTGTCCTGCTTCATCTCCCTCTCCCTTTGCTTTTACCTATCTGGATGGGGTCTATTAGTGCCCCTATTTCGGCCCTCCCTCTGGATCTAGACTTGACTTGGGAATGCTCCAACTCGAGCGCATACTCGTTTACAGGGCCAGGATTGGACAGCACCGAAAAGTCGCCCTACCATTATGCCCATGTGGTTGCTCACCAGGTCGTGACCATCCCCGCCGGATCTCCTTTTGCATCAAGTCTCATGTGGAAGGGCAGCTGTGCACCAGGCCAGTTGACACCAGTGGGAGCATTGCAGCATCGCAAGCTGGGCGCAGCACTCCGACAGATCTATGTCGACAAACTCAACTTTCTCCCTGAGACTTACGACCCCACCGCCGTGCATATTCGCAGCACAGGTAATGCACGTTATTTACTTTCTATTTTGATGCAAGGACAGACTCGTGTTTGTTTTGTTTGAATTGGTGCCCCTTGCGACTAATTGGCTTTTGTTGGGTAAATTGCTTTGCTAGACGTGTGGCGAACAAAGCAAAGTGCTGAGAACCTTATGGCAGGACTCTATGGTGTCCAGGGAAAGTCCGCATCTTCAGCGCCCCCAGTTCTTCAAATCCACACCTTGCCTACAGAGGTCGATTACCTGACCCTCAACACCGGGGCATGTCCACGCATCTCGCAACTGCGCGCCCACATTGAAAAGTCGTCAGAGGTGCTCAAGCGGCTGAAGGATGATAACGAAGACTTTTCCAAGCAGCTGACAAGGATCTTGGGCGCAGAGAAGCCTTGGTCAGGATTCATGGACACTATTCTTCCCAGGATTTGCCACAACAAGCCTTTGCAGTGCCGAAAGGATGCCAATGTGGGAAGCGAGAACAATTGCATCACTGAGTCCATTGCCAACCGTATTCTCGACAATGTTGCCATTCAGACGACAGAGATGTATCGAGATGCTCAAGGCGTTTTCGACGTGTTAAGATTGGGAATGGGACCCCTGTCGAGCGACATCAAGGAGAATCTTCTGGCTGCCAAGGCCCACGGCAAGGTCCGTCTCAGCTTTTATTCTGGACATGACACGACTGTCTTGCCTTTGCTCGGACTTTTTGATGCCGAAGATATGAGGTGGCCACCTTATGTAAGTACTCTTGTCTGCACTTGTGGCGATTAACTGTTGATATATAATTGATCGTGAGCTAACTACTCTCCTTGTTTTGAAACATGCATAGGCCTCCCACATCCTTGTCGAGCTGTGGAAGACCCTTCATGGAGAGTACTTTGTTCGTGTCCTTTATAACCAGGTAGTGTTGGCCACCAAGTCCAACTGGTGTGACTTGGAGTGGTGTCCAATGGATATCTTTGTGGCGCACTTGGACCGCTTCATATCCAAGGATTTGATGACTGAATGTCAGAGGCAGTAAGTAGGACGAAAGGGGTGCCAATCACCACAATAAAGGCGTGCTCGTGGAGTATTTATCCAAGGAACATCAATCGCTTTCCAGCCTATTTCTTTCTCTTCTCTTCTCAGTTCTTTACTTTCCCACTTTCAATCAAGGCTTTATTTTTCATCTCACCTTCGTTCCTACAGCACATTCATCTTCTCACCCTCGTTTTCTACACTGATGATTCCACTACCTATCCCCACCATTATCCTACATAAAAAAACGCCAGTATCACCAACGCAGGACTTGACGATCCAGGGGGATAGCGATGGTGCCATCCGACTTCAAAAATTACAACAACAACTACAGCAACATCACTCTCACTACCAATCCAAAAGGTTGGCATGGACATGTGAGCAAAACCTCATAGACGAGATCACGACCATGTTTGGACCCCACCTTGTCGAGATTGCGATGAAGCAGGATACTGTCCGTCTGTCGTCGGATTCATCCCGTGGGCAGCATCGTTCACAAGGACAAATAATGGACTCGTCCAACAGTATGTCGTCTCCTTCGACCACCTCTGAGTCTGCTTGTGTGGCGACGATGCTGGTGTCAGGACTTGAGCCGAGAGCGGTAAATTTGAGTCATGCGAATGGCGTCTTTTCGGCCGTTCGCCTTACTTGGTTGCAGGAGCTCAGGATTGTTTACCGGTGCTGTGGTGCGTTATCGTCAGGAGTAGGAGTAGGAGGAAGGATGAGAAAGCAGGCTTGTTTTCTGGATGCGGCGGTTTTTTCTTCGTCGGTATCACTGTGGTCGAGGTCTGGTGTGGGTTTTCAGGAAAAGGAGGAGGAGGAAAACGATGAAGTGGCTGTGGTTGATTTGTCGTATTGTGAGACGTTGGAAAAGCTGTGGATCGAGGATCTGGACAAGGACGGGCGACCACATCGCTTGCAGTCATGGAAAACTTCTGTCAAGGACCTCTTTACCACTACCGAGACTGGTGGCGATATTGACAGACAGGATAATGAGACAAGAAACCTGGTACCCTTTGCACGGAATCAAGGACTCGTCTTACCGGGGCGCCTCAAATCCCTGAGCATGGTAGGCCTATCCGCAAGCAAGTTCAATTTCGGATGGCTGCAGTCGACTCCGAGACTGGAGACACTCAACATCCACGGAATGAGGATGCGAATTGTCTCGCAGCAACTACCCCCACCAACAACGTCGCCGTTGTGGGACATTGAGGGAGTCTTCCTCCCACAGTTGAAGCATTTATCGATCCACTATGCCCCAGCGCGTCAGTTTCGGTTCGAGCTGCTGAAGCATTGTCCGCGGCTGGTGTTCTTGGATGTTCGAGATCTGTGTCCCGGAATTGTTCGTGAGGCGCTAGTGCACCCGGGAGGAGAACTAGGAACAGCGTCTGCGTCAAGAGCTGGTCATGGTGGTGGTAGTAAAGAGGAAAGCGGAGGGGAAGAGTCCATTTTTGCCACCAAAATTTCGACGTGCAGATTTGAGTTTCTCCACCCCAACCACATCCACCACCTCCAAGGAGGAGAGATGGTCAAGTTGCTGGAGTGGTACCTCCCTCGATTGAGACACCTTCACTTAGACGGTGTTCCCGCGAAACTGACGATCGCCATCACGACTGGTCCACCCGCGCTTCGGAAACAACAACGCTACCATCGACAACAACCACGATCAATTGAGAGACTCGAGATCACGCCAGCTGCCGCCGCTGCTTCTGAGAGTGAGACGACTGAGGATGCTATTACTAGGGTTGCAGAGCTGCCATGGCTGGAACGTGTGCTGACTCGCGAGAAGGTGACAGCACAAGAAGTCCTGGAGTACCGATTGGTGCCATTTAGGATCGACGATGTCAAGGGCGAGCAGGGGGATAGGATGGTGGAGCGACTTGGGATGGAGACACACGCATTGCAGTATACCATTGGCGCCAAGACCTGGCAGCGAAGCTTTCCTTGACTTATACGTAGAAGCAAACTACGTAACCGGATATTTTTTTTTTATGTTTGTTTTTCTTCTATGCTTGGGTTAGGTTGTTATTTTTGTTTAAACAATGAAAAATGGAGAGGTTGTTATGGTACAAGGGGAGTTTTGGACATCAATCAAGATGAAATGTATGTCATTGGTGTGTTTTGGATCAGATAAAAAAGGTGAATGAATGGGATGAAACTATTTGATATTGGACCTGACAAAAGTAGGCCGCGGTGACAAGGGAGCAGGTATTGGCGAAACGGGCGATTTCTCTCCGAAGTCAGGCTCCGGCTCTGGCATCAGCGGTGACGGACATGTCCGTTTCTGACCACAGGCAGAGTAAAAGGTATGATAGCTCTTGTGGATCTCGACTTCGGCCGCACTGGTAATGATTGCATTCTCATATTCTTGAACATCGATTCCGGTCCCATGGATGACTGTCGGGGTCATAGCGATCCAGAAGGCCTGTTCGTTCTCCTTGAGTAACGTCCCGATCTTGCCGCCGTACAATCCCGTAGGGAGGTTGAAAACTTCTTGCTTGATGTTGACCAACCCCGCCTGCTCCATGAGGTTGGCCAACCCCGGTTGTGTCCCAATATTGACATTGATCCCACGCCCCTTCAAGGTCAACTCAATCCAATCCCAGAGCTGTTGTGTCATGGGTCCGTTATTCCCACCATGTCCATCCACCTCGACCAACTCGACCCACCCACCGGGCTTGAGGACCCGTTCCAGTTCCTGGACGACACATACCCAGTCCCGAGGTTTCAATCCAGCTACCAGAAGGCGTTGGTGGACATAATCGAAAGAGTTATCAGGGAACGGGAGCGGTTCAAGGATGTTGTGTTGGAGGAAGCGACAGTTGGCGGGGATAATGGTTGTTGGGAAGACGGGCGACATATCGATGCCTGTTACCGTCGCATCCGGGAACTCATTCGCCATTTCCTATATTACATGAAAGACATCAATCCAACCCAACACAGAGGTACACAGAAAGGAGGAAGAGAAAGAAAAACGCGGGTATTTTACGCCCATTCGGTAAGTAAAACAAGCAACCGACACCTACAAACAACAACTACATCGGCAGAAGGATAGAGAGAACGATTCCATTCAGAAAATCACAACAAACAAGCCCGATAAGCTTTTTGGGGAACTAAAGGAAATGCATGGGTTTGTATGGCGTGCATATTCTCTGAGTTGTGTAGGGGAGAGACAAAGGGAGTAAACTATATTTTTCTTTTATGCCTTACCATCGTCCAAGTCCCTGGTCCACAACCGACATCCAGGATAGCTCGCACCTAATTTTTTGTTAATGTTTTTGTATTGTGGTTGTTTGTCGTCACAAAGTGAGCAAGGGTAACCCCATGGAAACACAGGGGTAGGTCAGGAAGGGGAATAACGAATGGAACAGAGGAAGTCAGATGGAAGAGTGTTAATCAATGTTCTCGGGCGGAAAATGGCATTACCGGGTTTAAGTTGAATATATGCGTGGATAAACATCCAGGTCCGCTCGAAAAATGCTATTTTTTACCATGGAGTCAAGGGGCGCCTTGTAGTTCCCCTTGATAGCATAGCGCAATATGAAGTGCTGTTCGTTATTTAAGCGAATGAGAAAAGAAAAGAAAAAAGAAGAAAAAGTAGAAGGAAAATTGTGTAAGTATTGGTGATGAAAAACAACAGCCAAGATGATCGAACTGACTAAAAGTGAGAGCAAGGGTAGGGGGAGCAAAGTTGTCCCTCGTGTGTTGTAGAGAAAACAAAGCTACGGCCGGAGAGGTTGGTGCCAAGCTGGTAAAACTTACTTGGAGTTGTAGCCTAGTGACACCCCGTCACGAATAAAAGCGGACGAGATGGATGAATTCTTTTTTGGTGAGCAACAATGTTGTTTTTCATGTTTGTCAGGGCTGTTGTGTTCTTAGGTGTAACCATGAAAAGAGAACCGCAAAAACAAAAACAAAAGCAACCACTTTGCCGCGGATCAAAAATGGACAACCATAGAATGGACGTCTTGTCATCGGGTGACGGAGGGGAGGGAGGGAGGAGAAGAAAGAAGAGGAGGGACAAGAGGCACATTGATATTCATCGTCCATGCATCCTTGCTCGTCATTCACCCATTCGTCCGTTCGTTCGTTCGTTTTATTACCTATCAACCCTGAGAGGGAAACTAGAGTTAATGACTTGTTATCAACGGGGACAAAATTGAACACAGCTGTAATCGCAAAAATAGCAAGGCGGTGTTCCTGGAGGCGATGGACAAAATAAAAAATAGTGGGAGTGGAATTGGGCGCAATTGGAGTTCCGTAGTCGCTCTCTCTGTCTTTCCTCAAGATCGTCACTGTCGACTGTCGACACCCTGTCTGTTCCTGTCTAAAGGACAAAAGAAACGGACATAGCCATCACATTCCACATGGCTCTCTTTCCTTCCTCGTCCTCCGTGTAATTATCCGTTGTGAGCAAGGCGAAGTGAACAGGGTGTAGTAAGAGGAGAGGGTTTGCTCTAGTTTGGTGTTTTGGTGGTTTTTGTTGTTTGCTTCATCTTCCATGATTGGCCCATCGACTGTGTGTTCCTATGCGATGCGCCCGTTATTGTTTGGTGTGGAGGGAAGGGCGGATGACATTGTCATGCCAGCTAAGGCATACAAACAAAAGAATCTCAAGAATTGGACAAGAGGTAGCTTGATGGAGAAGGGAAAAGGAAAACAAAAGGAAACTAGGAGTGCAGGGAAGGCGGATAACGCGACATTCTGTGCATGTGTGTGATAACTGCGGCGTGAGGGGCAACGAAGAAAGGGGGAAAAGTTCCGGTAAACGGAGTAACTTACTCGTCAATGTCGTTTGGGAGAAGATAAGATTGTGCATCATGGTACCGTCGTCCTTCGAGCCATTGGCAGTCTTGTGAACTTTGCTCTTCCTCCCCCATGGTTGTTCGTGTTCGTTGTTAGGAAATATTTGCCGGGTGTTAAGAATAGAAAGGTGTTGCGTGTAAATAGAGAAGTAAAAGTACAGTCACCAATGATGGAAAAAAGAGGAAGGTGGAAGTTCAGAACTCTCGGCAAGATGTTGCGAACGTGGCGGAAATGGCTTGTGGGAAGGGGGCGGAGTGAGAGTGGATTTGGGTTGGAAAGAAAAAAAATGAGGGAGAACGAGAGTGGTAGAGTGAGAGAACAGATGAAAGAGGACGCGAGAAGGAAGGGATTGAGATGAAAACGGTGTGTGGTTTGCTATGTCGTTGATGAGTGAGTCGTTTTGAGCAGAGGAAATTCTCTCGATCGGCAGACGGAGCAATAGTTTTGTGTGCCAGATAAATTAATGCGATTTTGATGGGTTGTGCTGTTGGAGAGGAGAAAGAGAATGACGAGGTGAAAGCAGGAATGAAGGTGAAGGAAGAAAAGGGGGACGGAGGTAGAAGAAGAGTTAAATGAAGAAAGAAGAGCGGACAAGGGAAGAAAGCAGCAAATATACAAAAAGTAGAGGACGAGGAAAGAACCCAGATATGAATGAAATGAGAGAAAAAAAAGGAGAGGAGGGCGAAGGGGACAGAGCGAGACAAAAAGCAAAGGATACGAAGGCAAAAAAAAAGAAGGTTGCCCTACAAGTTCCTTTTAGTCGAATTCAAGCAAAGTGAAAGAAGAAGAGAGCCATGATGTACCTTATGTCTTGTAGTTGGTTAAGTTGTTCGCAAGTCGTGTTTACCGGCACTTCACTGTCTGTCAAACCCAACGGCGTGTCATGGCAATTGGCCCTTTTATCCCACTCATCGGTTCATTCAATAGGGGCATAACTGACAATATTCCTCCCTTCCCTATGGCGCATAGTTTGTTTGTTTATTCAATTGTTGTTCAGCCGTCTCAGCGGGAAGAAGCACCAAAAAAAAGCCAACTAAAGCGGTGATTTCTGGGCAGTTGATTTCCTATCCGCACAAATGGATCGTCCTCTCGCATCCCCTTCTCCTCCCATCTCCCTCTCTTCTCTGCCTTCTTAGCCGCTCCTTCCCTCGGAGAAAGAGGAAGAACTTAAGCGAATGCAAAGGTGGAGGATTGTGGCGTTGTTGTTTGCAATGATGATGTTGTTATTGATGCCGTTTGCACTGTTGTGCTCGTGTTGCATTGCGGTGTTATGCGAATTGTCCCCCTGCGTGTTGTTTAGGCCTAATTTGTTGTTTGGTCAGGCTAACGCCCACTCATCATCAACAGCACCTTCGCTCATTTATTCCGGCAATCACTCGCGTTCCATGCTTCAATTTGAATGACCATAGCCACCCTTTCGTCTTCATTTTCAATTTCCCCGATACAACTCTTATTCGACCATCCGCGAACTGGATGTGGATGATGTGAGGAAGTAAAGGTGAGAGTGAGCTTGCATCTCTATCCATTGGTATATATGAACACATTACCCTGAACTCTCCTATTTCTCAGTCGTAAAGGGAGAAGAAGGTGGTTTAGTTCCCATCACCTGAGTGTGTCTCCTTTCATTCCTTTGGTCCTTCCTCTCCCCAATGCACCATGGTTTGAGTTCAAACCATGGGCGACCCTAACAAATCGATCAAAGTTTCTTCCCTGTTTTTTTTGTCCGATGCTAATTGGCCTATTTTGTATTCATTTTCTCCTGTACTTGTCAGGCCCTCTTTTTCTTTTTCTTTATCGATTCACATCCAGCTAAAAGGTACCTGACCACGTCTTTGTTTTTCCCTTCGATTGCATTTGTATATTTTCCAAAGTGGAGCTCCAAACAGAAGTTTACAATACGAGGGAAAGAGAAAGTGAGTGAGCCATTTGGGAAAAGGAGGAGGGTGAAATTCCTCCAAACACTCCTGCCATGGGAAGGGAGCGTGGTTGTGTAGAGAGGATGTAAAGAAAAAAGAAAAAGGGCCTAAAAGAAAAGGCAATACTTGGGTGTACTCTTTTCTCCCTTCGATGACGACGAGATGCACCCCAACCCGTTAAAAAAATGATACTAGGACAGTGGCAAAAAGAAAATGAGGGATACATGGGAAAAGGGGAGAGAAGGGAGGAACAGGCAGGCAGTGGAGTAAAGGGAGAGAGAGCGAGAATGGAACACACATGTGCTACTCTCACCAGCACTGCATATCATCTCCTGGCTTGCACAAGGCGCGGCTCGGGTATGAATAGAGGGGAAGCAAAGATTGAAAGAGGCTGAAAACAACGGAAGGGAAACTCGCCGCAAGACCCCGATCATGGTAACCTTTTGCTATATGCAACAATGAATAACGTCCTAACAGCAAATGAAAACCATCTGATAGGAAAAGGTCCAAGTCAGTTGGAGTAGAGTACCGAGTGCCGGGCAAGCTCAACTCCGCCAGACTAAAAAGCATATTGCTGGACCAACGGGATGAAGTTTTGCAAAAGAAAAAACTGTCATGCACTCAAAAATGACGCCAACTCTCACTTTTTTACTACTTTTTTTTTTTTTTTTTTTTTTGGTATTACTCTTTTCCTTGGCCTCAATACTCGGTTCCTACTTTTTCGAACTACTCATCCCATTCCTTAATTCTCTGTCCTCTTTTTTCCTCTCTTTTTTACTGAACGTGAGGGTTAACAAGCTTTTGAATATCACTGTGCATTGCGCTTTTATTTAGTAGAAGACTTCATGGACATGGAATGATAAGTGGATGGGAGTGGAGCATGATCATTAGTTTATTATCGAAATCTGGTATTGAAAACAAAAAAGACGAGCTCATAAAGTTCATGAGAGGAAAGGTACAGTGGCTGTGAGTAAGGGGCTTGCTGGAGAAAAAAGAGAGAGGCTGTGCTGATTGGAGGAGAAAATATGAAATATGGAAACAGGACACGAGGAGGAGGACGAGCATTTTATGCCACCACAACATTGGCGCTCCTTCGGCGACGAGGACTGCAGCGGGTGCACACCCAAGCAATCAAAAATACAAAGGCCAGGGCTACAAAAATGTGCTCGAGGCCAGGCGTCTGAATGTAAATAACACCCGTCAATGCGAGCACCCAAACAACCAACTAGTCGAAAAAATCAGGTCAGTTGAATGTGTAGTTGAAGCTCATTTTTATCCACTGCCACACTACCACACCTTCGATGAAATCATGGACGAGGAATCGACTTACCAACATGAAACCTACGACGATGAGCGCATCGTATGTTGCGAGTTCTATTGCCATGCACATATTCATAAACAGATACAAGAGTTAAGAGTGTAAGGGAGAAGAGCGGTTAAAACGAGGGTAGAGACTTGAGAGGGTTTTATATATCAAGGGTGGACTCAAACCTACTGCTTTTCTTTTCGTTCGTTCTTAGAGTGGCCATCACCAAGGCGGTGCGTAGCCAAGGTCATGTTGTGCTGTGTATGATCCTATCACAGTTGGTCACCGATAGAAACGAATTAGATGTGAGAGAGAGCACGAACAAGCGAGGAGGACATAAAAGAGATCAAGTAGGCGACTTTCTAACCCAACAATCATTAGCGCCGCTAGAATGCTAGAACGCGTTCATCTTGTGATCATCGCGTTTTGCTAGGCGCCTAGGCCCTATCCTTTTCTATTTCTTTGTTTGTATGAGGGGTATTATCACTAAACGATATTCCGCACTCCATCCATCCCTTCCCCGCACGCTCTTGTTTCTCGTTGGTGGATGACCTGGGTCGTGCAAAGAAGGTAATACGACGATAGGGAGTCCATCGAGTCATGTTCTTTGCGGTGAGACGTGCCGAATCGGCACCGTCCTAATTCGCCGCCACCGCGACTCAGGAAAAAAAAATGTCCAAGAAAAATCAAGTGATAAAGACAACGACCTTCCACCCACCCTCTTTCTCGCTTTCTTCCTCAACCCCGTCTCCTCGGCACCAGACTCTCTTTTGCACATAATATCACTTAACCCTCCATTCCTTGAACACATCATGTCAGACAACGCCAACGCCAACGTCACCACCGGCCCTCCCCGCAGACTCAGCTTATCGGAAAAGATTGCCGAAAAGTTCTCCGCGCTGAAGGGTCGTCGAACCAGCCATCATAGCGATCACAGCCAACAGAGCAACCAGAACCAGCAAAAACACCAGCATGGCACCAATGAGAACGCCCACGACAGTGCATTCGCTGTTGAGGGAAGCGCTGTCGGATCACACGCCATTCCCCCCATCGGGCTTGAACACCGTTATCAAGGTAATGCTGCTCAGCAAACTCACAGTGGTCAAGCGCAGGCCCAAGCGCAGTCCCAGGCTCCAGTTCAGACATATGCTGATCAACAGCAGACCTCCGAGGCCTAATGGATTCTACCGACGGTCTTGAGGGCAACGACCACCGACCCTTGATGTGATTCTTTTACTCTCTCTTGTCCTCTCATTGTACATAGCACGTGATCACACATTAATAAAACCTATTTCATCCTGGTGATTGGTGTCCTCGAAGGTCTTGCACTATTGAAAGAACAAGGTGTCTTGTTTGTCATATTGAGAATGTGATTTGCAGGCAGACATTCAGGCAGACCATGTGTATTTTGGTCCTTCCTTGAGCTGTACGAAGGTGAGAGTTGAAGGAGGATGTGGAGGGCATGGGGATAAAGGGAGACGGGTGGAACTTGGAAGAGCAGTAGGTAAATATTTTTTTGAAGACTTTATTTTTGGATCATTCTGTTTTATGTGGAACAATCAGTTGAGTCTATTTCTGTTTCTGAATTGACTTGTGCAGCGTACCTTTTTTCCTTTTTCTTTTTGTGTGCCTCTTTATCTGCCGTCTTGTCCTCTTTGTCCTCTTTGTCCCCTTTGTCCCCTTTGTCCTGTTTGTCCTCGTTGTCCACGCCCTCTTTCCTTCCTCACCCTTCCCTTACCCTTCCCTTCTTCAGTTTCACTTTTCGTTGCATTGCACCCCTCCTCATACACATTCGCTCCTCCACACCCACTCAGCACTCGGCACTCCATCAACACAAACAGATCTCCTTCACTGATTCAATCTCGCCCATAGGCTCACAACGATCATGACTCGCTCAGATCCCTCTCATACAACAACAACAAAGGCTTTGACCCGTGCCCTACTGATGGCACTTCTCGGCCTCCTCTGCCTCTCCAACGTTTTTGTGCAGGGTCAAGGTACATATAAGTGTGGATAAGAACCAGACTCCTCTTTTTCCTCTTCTACTTCTATTTCCTTCGGCAAAAAGGAGAATATCGATGGCGGATAGCGGAGAAAAATAAGGAGACGAAACCATACTCCTTTATCCTTCTTCAACAATTGAACAGGAGGGGTGGTGTGTCTTTCCTCTGGTCATCCATGTCTTTTTTCTCAACAGCGCCCAATTCTCACCTTTGCGCCCTACTTTTATGTGTGTATGCTTCTTTACTACTCTAGTCACAAACACTCCTACTCCCTCAGGCTCCACTACAGGCGGTGCTTCTACCGCCACAGGTGGTACCCCAGGAACACAAACGGGGACACCCACAGGAACAGCATCCGTCCCGGTCACAGGCACAGCCTCTGTAACAGCCCCTGCTGCTGTCCCAACCCAATCTCGCTCACCCATGGATCCCCTCGCCTCTTTGACGATGCTCCAACCCAAGGTTAACCTCAAGAATCCACCTCTGTTTCCGCTCGGTGTCGATATCCAGTTCTCGTGGGACTATGACCAGTATCTGAAGTTGCAACCCGCCAATCTGACGATTGAGGCCTACCTGCCCGACAACAGCATTATCACCATTGCTGATGCTATCGCAGGAAACCTGAAGAACTACACCTGGCCCGCTGCCAAACAATTGAACCAGACAAACCCGATCAGCACAGCTATCTATACTCTGCGGATATTCGATGGCAACGTCGGGCGCTTTGGTGTCTTGCCTCAGGGTGGATACCTTTCCACCTTTGTTGGCCTCAAGTTCGGTCTCTATAGACCCTCTGCCTACATCCCTGGATCTCAGATGGATCGTAAGTATTGATTGGCGCTCTTGTTTAATTGCTGTTGTTGATCTTATTGTTGTCTTTGCTAGTATATTACGGATAATTTGACGTTGTGTGTATGTCTGAAACGACCATTAACCACCATGTTCTTCTCCTTGATGCTCTTTCTTTTAGCCCCCATAAGTGGCACGGCCCAGTTTGCTCCTGTTCCCAACAGTGCTATGAAGGTCATTGTCCCAGTGGCCACTATGGCTATTGTTTTCATGGTGTCTGTCCTCCTTCTCTAGGGCTGTCCCCTAGAAATTGTTAAATAAAAGTTTAAATCCATTCATTGTTCGGAAATAACGTATATTTGCAACGTCAACATCAACAGTTTCAAGTGTGAGGTGAAGGGGCTGAGGCTGTTCGCAGAAGAAAAAAAAGCGCAAGAGAGTCAAAAGAGAAAGAAAGAAAGTCGCCCTGGAATTGAGAGAAAGAGGATTCACCTTCTTGTTTGATCCCCATCCCTGAAGACATTAAGGCAGTTGCCGTAGACAGATCCCTACGCACTCAATCACTCACTCCCCTCCCTTTTTCTTCCTCTGCCTTCTTCCTCTCCCCCCATCACGGCATACTCTTCCTTCTCACATCCCTCACAACTCAACACCGACCATCTCTTGATCGCACCTACCACATTCTCCACACTCTCTCTCTCTCTCTTTAACGCTTTTTTACCCTCAACCCTCATAACCCCACACCATGTCTCGCTTCTTCCGTGCAGGAGAGAGCGACTCTGATGAGACAGAGTCAGATTACTCTGATGAGCTGACCCATTCCGAGTCTGAGGACCATTCCGATTCCGACTCTGACGGTTCGTCCTCGGACGACGACGATGCCGCCAAGAAGACTGGTGGTCGTGGTCGTCTCTTTGAGGGATCCTTCTCTGATTCTGACAGCGAAGACGACACCGTTCGTGTTGTCCGTTCTGCAAAGGATAAGCGGTTCGAGGAGATCGAGCAGGCTGTTTCTTCGATGATCAATGGTCAAAAGATCAATGACTGGGTCTCTGCTCAGAATGGTAAATTCTTGTTAGAGAGCAACAAAACACAACAAGCGCAGGGCAAGGGAGCGATAACGATTCAGGACCGTTGGACAGGGCTGAACACTGCAGGATCTTCAGGTGGATCGTGTGGATCAGGATTCGCAAAAAAGTTGACAAAGACAGAAACTTGAATTCATGACCAACACCAACTGGGAGAAACACAGCATGAACTGCAATTGAGATTCAACGCCAGGGCAAGATGTCCTTATGGATAGAGCGAGAATACTACAAGGGCAGCATTGGATCTGGATACAATCAGCATACACGAACCAACTTCATTTCGCGCTTGGACAGGATCCTTCAATAACTCTACCTATACTAACACTGAACTCTTACATGGATAATTAGAATTCGACCGTGCCAACAAGGGTCTCCAAAAGGCTGCTGGTATCATCGCCCAGACCGGTGTTCCCAAGTTCTACGTCAGAGCCGTTGCTGATTTGGAAAAAACCATCCAGGCAGCTTTGGAGAAGGAGAAGTCCTCCACCAAGAAGATGAACGCCTCCAACGCCAAGGCCTTGAACTCGATGAAGCAAAAGGTCAAGAAGAACAACCGCCTCTACGAGAAGGAGATCCAGGAGTATGAGAAGAACCCCGAGAGCTACGTCGACGAGGAGGTTGTCGAGGAGAAGCCCAAGGTCAAGAAGCCCAAGAAGGTTGTTGTCTCTGACTCTGAGGACAACTCCGATGCTGAGGCTGCCGATGATGGTTTCACCCCTGTCGGCGCTGGTGGAAAGGCTGTCGAGTTAAACCAGGAGAATATCTACAAGAAGTTGAAGGAAATTTCCGACGCTCGTGGAAAGAAGAACACTAACCGCGAGGATCAGGCCCGCATCTTGGAGAGACTTCTTGCCGTTGCCAACTCGCCTTACCAGAAGATCCGTGTCCTTTTGGCTTTGATCTCAGCCCAGTTCGACTTTCCTATTGGCGCCTCTGGCTACATGACTATTCCTCTCTGGAAGCAGTAAGTCCTCATGGACAATTGTTGGGAACGCCTACTGGTTTGGAAATTATACTATTATTAACAACAGCTTCTCTATCTTCTTGACATTAGTGCTGACAAGTACTTGAACCTCCTGTTGACCATCTTGGAGGCTAGCCCAGAGTATATTGTCAAGGAGGATGTCCCAGAGGAGGACGAGGAGACCGACAAGGACCGTGTCCCCCAGAACGGCGAGCCCGTCTACATCCAGGGTTCCCTTGTTGCCTTCATTGACCGCTTGGATGATGAGTTCACCAAATCTCTTCAGAACATCGATCCCCACACTACCGACTATGTTGATCGTCTCAAGGATGAGGTTGGACTTTACTCTGTCATTGTCCGCTCCCAGGCCTACTTTACTCGCCTCCATTTGACCGACTCTATCAGCCGCACTACCATGAGACGTTTGGAGCACTTGTACTTCAAGGTGAGTAGTTGTTTATTACCCAACAACAGCACGATATTTTGTCCGTTATCTTGCAGTGTCATCTAACATGCATCGTCGCTCTATCCTTTATAGCCTGATGTTGTCATCGTTGCTGTCGAGAACGCTACCGCTGCTCTCCTGCCTGCCAGCATTGCCAGGCCCAACCAGGATTCGTCGGCTCTCATTCACGATCTCTGCGTCTTCCTCTACAAGAACGCCACCTCTCTCCTCCGTACCCGCGCTATGCTCTGCCACATCTACCACCACGCCCTTCACAACCGATTCTTTGTTGCCCGTGACATGCTCTTGATGTCGCATTTGCAGGAGACTATTCACCAAGCTGACGTGACCACCCAGATCTTGCACAACCGCGCCATGATCCAGTTGGGTCTTTGCGCTTTTCGCGAGGGTATGATCAAGGAGGCTCAAACCTGTTTGCAGGATATATCTGGAACCGGTCGTGTCAAGGAGCTTTTGGCCCAGGGACTCTCCCTCCAGCGATATGGCGCTGCTACCCCTGAGCAGGAGAAGCTTGAGCGTCAGCGTCAGCTTCCCTTCCACATGCACATCAACTTGGAGCTCTTGGAGTGCGTCTACTTGACCTCCTCTATGCTCCTCGAGATCCCCAACATGGCCCAGGCTGGCAGCAACCCCGACGGTCGCAAGAAGGTCATTTCCAAGCCCTTCCGCCGCATGCTGGACTACAACTCTCGCCAGGTGTTCACTGGACCTCCTGAGAACACTCGTGATCACATTATGGGCGCTGCCAAGGCTCTTTCTAACGGCGAGTGGCAAAGGTCGGTTGAGCTCATCAATGCTATCAAGATCTGGGAGCTGATGCCCGAGGCTTTGAAGATCAAGGAGATGTTGGGCCGCAAGATTCAAGAGGAGGCTCTCCGCACCTACTTGTTCGCCAACGCCTCCCATTACTCTTCGGTTAGCCTTGATCAACTCGCCAAGATGTTTGATCTTCCCCTCGCCTCAGTGATCTCTATTGTGTCAAAGATGGTATGGAACGAGGAGCTCTCTGCTAGCATCGACCAGGTCAGCAACGTTGTTGTCTTGCACCATGTCCAGCCTAGTAAGGTCCAGTCGCTTGCTCTTGCCTTTGCCGAGAAAGCCGCTGGATTCGTTGAGGGTAACGAGAAGCTGTTGGAGCTCAAGACTCCTCAGCAGGCTGAGCGTCCCAAGAAGGGTAAGAAATGTGTTTTGTGTCTCTCATTGTGACAATGGTCTTTGTACACAATGTGGGGATGAAAGGTGAAAGGGATTGAACGCTAACTGGTATGTTTTATTCTTTGTGATATCTGTAGGACCCAATGCCAACAAGGAGCAGGCTACTGGTAAGCAGCAGCAGCAACGCACCATGGGACCCCGTGGTAGTCGTGGAGGACGTAATCAATTTAACAATGGACTTGGCAACAGCGTGCGGGGCGGCCGCAAGTAAATCCTCATATACTTTTTTATCTCTCACGCATTTTTAAGTAGTTAGTTTTCACCATCATTTTTCTTATTTTCTTTCACATCGACAACCTTTTCATACAATGCATTTCACAAAGAAGAAACCAACACGGCGGAAAAGGAGACATGAAATAAAAAAAAATAAAAAAATGAAGCCAAGACCAACGATGGATGTGACGTAGGGCATGCGATTATTGGTGCACCTTTCAGGCCGTCCCATCTTTTTTTTTCTACCTTTATCTTCTTTTTCCATTCCACAACCCTCTGCCTAATCCCCTACTACCCTAATCAACCAAACAACAAGCGCTCACTTACACTCAAATTCACACCTACAATCAACCATGTCTGAACGCGAAGCTCAGGAACTGATTGCCAAGGCCGACAAGAAGGCTACCTCCTCCTCGTGGCTCTTTGGCGGAAACAAGTACGAAGAGGCCGCAGAGCTTTACACCAAGGCCGGTAACATCTACAAGATGGCCAAGCGATGTAGGTCTTAACAAACACACATCTCATCACATCTGCACAGGAGCAACTTCTGGACAAGCAAGTAGTCATCGCAAGTACAAAGGAAAGCAACAACGCAAGACACTTGTTCTTGGACCTACTACGTGGACTGACCAGAAAACAGTCGCTACAAGGACAAAGACAACTACGACAACTGTGGTTACGCTTGTGCTTCTTTTACGTCGACTGATGGCTGGACAAGATTGTGGTTGTAGCACTCATTCGCCACTTTGAGTGTCAGCTGTTATCCATTATAGCCGTTAAAAGGGGGAAGGGGGAGAGAGAGAACAGATATAAATGGAAAGAAGGGGTTGTATCACACTGCTAATCACACCTCATTTATCTTTTTATTCATCACTCATAGGGAAGGAGTCGGGCGACACGTTCTGCAAGGCTGCGGATATGCAGTTGAAGATGAATGAGAAAGACGAGGCTGCCAACACGTTCATCAATGCCTCAAAGTCATACAGAAAGTCGAGTCCTCAAGGTATGCGGTCCTTTCATGTGCATGAATTCCGTTGTCCCGCTCCGGCCCATTCGGGTTGACGTGGCTGTATTAGAGAGGCTTGCAGGACTTTTGAGGCGCTGGACTGTATCATTCGACTTACCAACTTCTTTGCGCCCGTCATTTTATTTCATATGTAGAGGCTATCTTGTCTTTGGAGAACGCTATCCAGATTTTGACAGAGCGAGGACGCTTCCAGTCGGCAGCTAAGCATCAGGAGGACATTGCCAGCATTTACGAGTCTGAGCTCATTGACCTTGACCAGGCGATGCGTGCCTATGAAGTAGCGGCCGATTGGTACGCAGGAGAGTCTTCAACAGCGTAAGTCCAACTACTCCTCAACTCTTTTCTGTCTGGAACGACGAGATACATTTGCACACGTACAGGTCATCCCGTTAACACTTTTTGTGATCTATGTGGCTCATTGTAGTCTTTCGCACAAGTGCATGCTCAAGGTCGCTACATTTGCTGCTCAGTTGGGACAATACGACAAGGCCATCGAAAAGTTTGAGCTCGTCGCCTCTGCCAGTTTGGATAACCAGCTCATGAAGTGGTCGCTGAAGGAGTACTTCCTCAAGGCTGGACTCTGTCATATCGCCAGTGGGGTACGTTTATGGACTTGTTCTTGACGCTTGTTCTGTACTTTTAAAGCTTTACACTGCGGTATTTTGGCTGACCTTTTACTTTTTCTTCTCAAACTTTACAGGACTCTGTCACCGCCCACAACGCTGTCAACCGCTACTGCGAAATGGATGTTACATTTGGATCAACCAGGGAATGTCAATTCTTGCAGGTACAACAACACCCCTTTATGCTACTCGGACTCACTTTTCATCCTACTCCGAGGAGCAATTCGCGATGACACAGCCAGTGATACTAACAAGCTTTCCTTCTCGCGATTAATAGAGCATTCTTACTGCTGTGGATAACAGTGATGTGGGCCAGTTTACAGGAAGCGTCGTTGAGTTTGACCAATTGAGCAAGCTGGACAATTGGAAGACCAAGATCCTGCTGGAGATCAAGAACAGCATAGGAGAGGAGTCCAGCCTGATCTAATTCAGCTAGAGAAAGAAAATAATGAATGAAAATAGGGGTGTCAACGGGACAATAATACGCATAGTACACATATAAAACGGTGCTTTTTTTTTCCGCTGCGAATGGCGCCATCACGGAAGGAGCCAGGATGGAAACAAAAAGAAAAGAAAATACTCATGGCGGCCAACCAAGAAGATCAAGTACAAGACATGTACAGCTCAAAGGGGCGCATTTGCGAAAGACCGTCATAATGATCCTCACTGGCGCTCTGGGCCAGTCCGTCGATGATTGGTTCAAAAGGTACTATATCATCACGCGCATAAGAGGGCTAGCAGTGGGGGTTCGGCAAAAAGGAGCTTGAACGACCCTCGGACTTTTTTTGACCGACGACCCCTTCGTCTCGCCCACCCATCCTTTTGTCTGGAGCTCATTCACTCTCATCGTCGTACCTCTTTCTCCATTTCACTTATTCTCGTCCTTTTCTTCTTCTTTCCTCCTCTCTCACCCCACTTTCACCACCCTCCTCTTCACTCCACTCCACTCCTTTTCTGACACACTCAAAACAAGTACTATTTCTCGATGGCCCAAAGACTCCTCAGTTCGCCTCTCAAGAGTGTTGCCGCAACGAACGTGTTCCGGGCTTCAGGTCGCGTTACCGGACACCTTGGTCGCGCCAACCTCCTCCGCCTCTCACGCCCCTTTGCCACCAGCGTCGGCACAGGCGACTACCTGACCCGCAAGCACTCTGACCAGAAGGCGTTCGTTCACGGTGAACCCACGGGACCTAAAGTTCTCACGGGCGCCATCCCTGGTCCAAAGACCAAGGCTGGCCTGCAGAACCTTGACTCTTTTCAAGACACCCGAGCTGCCACGATGATGACTGGTAACAAACAGAGGATCTTTCTATCAGGCATACATAAGTGCGGACGCGACGTGTTTGTTTGTTTGTTTTACAGCATATTAAGCCAACTCTTCTTTTTGCTAATCGTTGTAAAAAAAAAATCGCTATGAAAGATTTGAACAAGTCGATCGGAAACTACGTTGTGGATCTGGATGGCAACACTGTAAGAACCCAGTTGATCCCGGCTCCGAAAAAAGGCAATTCCGACATAGAGTCGTGTTAGCGCTTTTTGCTCACCAAATAAGACTCTCACGCTCGTTATCAAATAGTACCTCGATATGTACTGCCAGATCGCCTCACTTCCTCTCGGCTACAACTCCAAGGCACTGATGGATGCGGCAAAGTCGCCCGAGATGATCCAGATGTTGGTGAACCGTCCTGCCCTTGGTGTTCAACCTCACTCGACTTGGGCAAAGACACTGGAGGAATCGTTTATGAGTGTGGCCCCTAAAGGATTGACTCAGGTCTTCACGGCTATGTGCGGATCCTGCAGTAATGAAACTGCATACAAGGTAATAATGAACAAGCGGTCTAGCTGATCCACTCGAGACGAATCATCTGTTCCGATGTTCTTTTTCATTGTAAAGTGTTGCCTGTTCGTGTGCGAAAAAAAACCCCCTTACCACTGTCGACAAAACGGCAAAAGCATCTCTTTTAACCTGTTGATACCCTCTTTGGGTACATCATCTCTCTTTTTGTTTCCTTTTTTGTGTGGACCTGGACGGGAAACACTTTTATATTAGGCTGCCTTCATGTACCACCAGAGAAACAAAAGAGGGTTTAACAGCGAGATTTCGAACGAGGACCTGAGCACTTGCATGAAAAACAGCGAGCCTGGCTCCCCTGGTACGTTATTAGAGTTTTGTGAATGCCCAACAAAACGCGGCGGATATCTCCCTCTCGCTCTCAATGTTCACAGTCTTTACATTTTTTCTTGACGGGCTCACCCATAATTCTTTTCTACAACCAAAAAAAACGACAACCATAGACCTGGCGATTATGAGCTTTGAAGGCGGCTTCCATGGACGTCTCTTTGGTTCGCTCTCCTCCACCCATACCAAGGCTCTCCATAAGGTCGATATCCCAGCCTTCAAGAACTGGGTGGCCAGCCCTTTCCCCAACCTCAAGTACCCACTGGACAAGCATCAAGCCGAGAACGACAAGGAAGAAGCCCGCTGCCTTGCCATCGCCGAGAAAAAGATGAAGCCGAAATCCTCCGGAACCCCTGTTGTTGCTGTGATCGTCGAGCCTATCCAGAGTGAAGGTGGTGATAACCACGCGTCGCCAAAGTTCTTCCAGGGACTTAGAGATCTGACCACGAAGCATGGCGTCCTCATGATTGTCGATGAGGTCCAGACCGGTGTTGGACCAACTGGAGACTTTTGGGCCCACGAAGCATGGAACTTGACCGTAAGTTGCATCTCTTTTTTTTGGTGTGTGTTGTTTGACATTGTTCCTTATGCAACCTCGAATCCATTATTTAAGCCTTTGAATTTTTTCCATCCCCCAATAGACCCCACCAGATATTGTCACCTTCTCCAAAAAGTTCCAAGCTGCTGGGTAAGAGACACGCGTCTTTTGTCCTTCAGACCACATAAGGAGAGCATGAAGCTATCCGACACTCTTTCTTGGCTACATCACCTGAGACTGACCAATCTACTTTTTTTGCTTATCTATCGGCAATAGCTGGTACCATCGTCCTGAGTTGAGGACCAATGTTCCCTACAGGAACTTCAACACCTGGATGGGAGACCCAGTTCGTGCATTGCAGGCAAAGACGATCCTTCACGAGATCAAGAAGCACGATTTGATCGCCAACGCAAGGGAGACCGGCGCCTACCTGATGAAGGAACTGTCGACCATCGAAAGCAAGTACCCAGAAACTATCTCGGCTGTTCGTGGTCGCGGTACGTTTATGGCGTTTGATCTCCCTACCCCAGAGGCACGAGACGTGTTTGTGACGAATCTGCGTGCGTTGGGTGTCAACACGGGTGGATGTGGAACCCAGAGTATTCGTCTGCGACCCATGTTGGTCTTCCAGAAGAAGCATGCTGATATTTTTTTAGATGCTGTAGAGAAGGTCTGCAAGTCAGTGTAAAATAACACCTCCTACTCTGCACAAAACGCGTCAACGCCGAAATGAATAAAAAAATGACATTTACTCATGGAGTTTTGACGCTTGTGCTGGCTGGTACTCAACGCTTCGCCACAAGGCAACAGAAGCGCTTCATCCACTGAACAAAGCTTGGGCTCTCACGACCCTTTCACCAAACCTTTTTTTTTTTTTTTTTCGTACACAATTTTATTTCTCTGACAAACAGCATAGAGAAGTTATTTGGAAGTAAAAGGGAACTACAGACTAGATTCTTCAGTGCACCATCCACCAGTCGCAGTCCGGTCCAGAACCTGGCTCTGCGCAACAATTGTCGCTGCTCTTCACAGCTTAAACGGAAGAAAATAAAACTAGATACGAATGAAGGGGATTCTTCCCATCCTCTCCATCTTTAACAACCTCCTCCTTCCTAACAAACTCTCCAACAACCGCTCGTCAGCAGCGCGTGGGTCCTTGGTCGCTCCAGGGCACCTTCCTTCATCATGTGTGGCTAGCGAAGCGCCACACGGACAGAAACCATCGTGCGTGATGTAACCGTATCCTTGACTCCAGTCACCTCGGGGGCCTGTGTACTTGGATGTCTTGTTCTTGGCAGAGATACCCTGGGTCTGCTCCCACGCGATCGTCGCGGAGCACCGAGGTTTCCAGATCAGCTCCGAGGCCTGCGCCTCCAGGTAGCCAACAAACTTGTGAAGGACTGTCTTGGCGATGGACATTGGGGTCCGGAAGACCGCGGACCATTCAGTCAACATGCTCAAGGGGGTGATGCCGCAGAGGAGATCCGACACATTCCACATCGGTTTCTCGTCTCGATCGAGAGCTGGACTACCGCTGTGCACGGCTCGAGCTCCACCGATGGAGGAAAATCCTCGTACATGATCTGCATCCGAAGGGGGCCACCAGTGTATGGGTACTGACCTCGGCACCTGACGACCTCTGTCCACCGCGCGTTTGTGTTCCCGCTTCCTGGCTGCGTTGTAGCTGTTTGTCGCTTGCGCACCCCACTCATTAATCTTGCCCATGGCCTCCTTCCAGATCTCAGTGGTGGTCTCAGCTGCCGAAGGGCATTTCCAGACGTGATCGTTATCCTCCTTCTCGAGCTCGCATCGTCGGCACACGCATGTTGGGTACAGGTTGGGCTTGCGAGCCTGCATGGAGTTCAGAGTGGGCAGCATTCCATGCAGCTTTTTGATATGATGTGTGCGTTGGTGAGAGTCCTTGCTGTTGCTGTAAAAGGTGAAGACTGCGTGCCTGTCGTGGACATAAGCCAAGGTCGAGTTCCATTCCACGTCATCGATGTCAGGGATCGCCCTCTTGACCCGCCTCTGTGACGTCCAGGCCTGATGGTGACGGATTGTCGATTGTTGTTTGAGGAGCTGACGTAGATCGATTTCAACAATCCCGCCGTAACAATGTGCAAAGGTCGTGATATCCGTCTGTTGAGTGAGATCCACCATCCAGGGCACTGAACTGTCACGAGACAAGAGCTTGCTCTTGTGACTTCGCCCTAACGAGTATAAAAGGGCCTTAGATAGCAAATCTATAGCTCTTTACTTGGTATCGCCAATACAACATACTCTTTAACCTATTCCTTATACTCATTTCTTAGTCCTTGATCAAGGTTCTCTTTATCTACTTCATTCTATTGCTTGGTCTGCTTTCTTGACAATACCAAGTCATACACCTAAAGAACCTTGGATCAAACTTTGTCTGTTTTCTATTGATATACTTCAGCGCTCAAAAAAAAAAAAAAAAAAAAAAAAAAGCCTTTTCCACAACAAAACCAAACCCTATCTTCTTCAAGTTCTTTCCTCTTTTACTACCATCTTCCGTACACAACCCACAACCCTCAGAAACTACAACAACTCTTCACTTTCCGTATCAACTACAATGCTACCCGATAGTGAGATCCTTACAGCCAACGCGCGCTTCCAAGCACTGATGGACCGAGTAGCCACACTTGAACAAATAGTTCAGACGGTCACTCCCTTGCAAGCCAAAGTCACCGAACTCGAGGAGACTGTTCAGAAGTACCGTGATATGCTGGACTTCATTCTTTCGAACGAAGATTTCTTCACAAGCCTGACCGTCAACCTCAACCCTCGATTACTCAGCCTCGAATCCAACGTCCAGAAGATGACGTCACAATTACCACCCATCACTCGCGCAGAACTAGGCAAACTATTTTATGATCACAAGACCGATGTCACCAACACAGTGAGTGCCATCTTCCAATCAACTACACCTCACTCCAGCAATAGCTCCCCTTCGAGGCCAAAAGTAGCACCCCCCGCAGTCTTCTCCGGCAAGCGTGAAGATTGGAAAGGGTTTCAGGCTCAGCTGGAACTCTTCTTCGTTGCAAACGAGACCCTCTATCCGAACGACCACGACCGCATTGTGCTGGCTATCTCGCGCCTCGGTGATACTGCAGCGTTCAAGTACATGCAGAGATACGTTCCGTCCTTCAAGTTGCCTGTCGAGGAGAGACCCGCATGTATTTCTAACCTGGATCAGTTCTTTGCTCTTATGAGTAAGAACTTTGGAGTCTCCAATGCTCACGTCCTAGCAGAAACCCAACTCCGTCAACTTAGACAGCGCGGTTCTGCCATCGACTATACAAACCGTTTCGTCAACCTTGCAGCGGATACAGCATGGAATGATAGCGCAATGATTTCACAGTTCCGCCTCGGCCTGAAGGAGTCTGTTCAAGAAGCCATGGCAAACTACCCCGAGCCACCTACCTTTGCCGAGTTTTCACAATTGGCTATCGACATCGACAACCGACAGTACGGCTATGCAGTGACCCGTTCCGGCAACAAATCTTCCAGCACTCCGTCCCGTTCCACCACTGCCCACACTTCTACTACCACTCAAGCCTCATCCACCCCAACTACCGCGTCCACCCCTGCTACCTCAGCTCCCGCGACCACTTCGATGGACATGGATCTCTCGCATGCTCGCCATGGTCCTTTGCCACCGTCTGAGCGTCTTCGTCGTCAAAAGGAAGGACTGTGCACCTACTGTGGTTCAGCAGATCATTGGCTTGACGACTGCCCCAAGAAACCTGCAAAGCCCTCGTTCAAGAACGCCCCAAAGGCAACAGCCTCGATCTCGGCCCTTCAGCCTACACAGACTAGCGACCAGCCCGATGCAATCTCTTTCCAATTGGAAAAAGATTCAGCCTAGACAGTAAAGTTGGAGTGTGTCTGGGCGAGCTGTATAACAAATCTCCAAATGATCCTCTGCTATCCCCTATTACTATTCCAATTACTCTTCACTTCCAAAACTCCTCACTACCAGTCCATGCAATGATCGACTCAGGAGCAACCATCTCATTCATTCATCAAAATCTAGCACAACAGCACAATCTTCCACTAGCACAACACTTATTACAAATCTCTCTTGCCAATGGTTCAACACATACCTCTCATCACGCCACCACATTGGTTATGCAATCCCACTCACAACACTTTTCCACACACACTTTTCAACTCATTGCACTTGGCAATTATGCCATTATTCTTGGCATGGACTGGCTCCGCTCACACAACCCATATATCGACTGGGAGAAACGAACCATTACTATGCCATGCCTCCATCAGCACACACTCGACAAGCTTTCCCCTCTTGCACAATCAACAATGCCTCGATCCATCCCTTCCTTCCAGGAACAAGACCGAATCCTTCTGCCACCTTCCAAACCCAAATCCACTTTGGTTCCCACCAAGTACACCTCAGGATCCAACCAACTATCCAAATCCGCCAAGAACCGATCAGCAACCAACATCTCCATTATTAGCAATACACAACTCCGTCAGATCCTCAAGACCAATCAAGGAGTCGGATACATGCTCGACGTCTCCCGAATCGAAGAACTCGCCAGCGCAACCACCAACGACAACTCTATCCCTGAATCAAAACCCACAGTCCAACTGCCCGAGAAATATGCCGAATATGCTCAGGTATTCTCCAAGATGCAAGCCGACAAGCTACCGCCACATCGACCCTATGATCACAATATCCCTGTGGTCGAAGGAGCCACCGTGCCATTTGGACCAGTGTACAACCTATCACAAACGGAACTGCAAGTTCTACGCGAATATATTCAAGAAAACCTTGCAAAAGGGTTCATCCGTCGATCCGAGTCTCCAGCTGGCGCCCCCGTCCTTTTTGTTAAAAAGAAAGACGGTTCTCTCCGCCTCTGTGTCGACTATCGAGGCCTCAACAAGGTGACTGTCCCCAATCGATGCTGCAACATATTAGGTTTATCATTGCTCTCTAGTTAGTCATTCCTTGTCACTCTCTATCATCTCTGACTCACTATGACACTACACCTAGAAACCTAGTTGGCGACTTTGTATATATATTTAGTTGTACCATAGTAATAACATCAATCATCACTGCTTCAACTCTCGTCCCCGTTCTATACTTCTCTGTCCCAGTCTTCGCCTGTTGCATGGTAGCAAAGGTTCCCTCGTTCCACTGACCTCTTGATTTTTCCCTCCTCGTTTTCACTGCCCGCGTTTTACTTTAATTTTCCCTCGTCCCAGCTCTCTCTGCACACCAGCCCTGAATTTCATTCCCTGCCCCTATTTTCCTTCGTACCCTCTTACACTCTGGACATTTTTGACCTCTCCGCACTTCTCTCTGCACTACCAGTCATGGTTACCCCTGCCCGCCTTAACCCCCCTCCTGTCTTTACAGGCGCCCGCGACGGTTTCTCTGCCTTGGCCTGGCTCGTTGCGGTTAACCGCTACTTCAACCTTGCTAAGATAAGTGAGACTGAACGAACACCCCACGCTCTCTCGTACTTGGGCACGCCTGGCCCTGCCCGATGGTTTGATGGATGTGGGCTCCCTGATACTTGCAACTTCGAGACCGAGTTTACTCCTGCTTTTAAGCTAGAGTACATTCCCAACAACTTTGCGGGCTCCTGTCGACGACACCTCACCAATCTTCGCATGACCACCAACTTTTCGACCTAC